TGCATCCCTCCATCAATACGCAAAGGAGCGCCTCACTAATGCTCAACGCCTGAAAGGCTAACTGCTGAACATGAGCTCAACATCAAGTAAACACGCTTCATTCTTGTCCGCATCATACTTTTGACTCATCGTTCATGTCACAGAAAGTCTCGCTTTGCCGAGCTAAATCTCAAATTTGGCATGCCAAATGTGCGAAAACCTCCCCCAACAGACATAGCAACTCAGGCTGTACTGGAAATGGTAGCGGAGGATACCGCACAGACACGAGGAGTGGGTACCATCTCCACTCTACTCAGCAACGAGGGGATGTTGCTTCCTCGGTAAATTTTTCTTGCAGTCGGTTGTAATTGTTCACGAAACCCTTATTCAGAGATTTTATTCGCAAAACCCTTTCAACATATGCCCCAGATGGATTATCTCATCGATTCCCCGCAGTACTTTACCCTCCCCCATGAGTTCCGGCGGACTCCAGCGGACTCCCATAGAATGTCGGAATTCCATCTGGAGTCCGCCGGAATGGTAGGAATCTCAAATTCCAGTGGATTCTGCCGGATTCTGAATGGAATTCCAATGGATTCCGCCGGATTCTGAATGGAATTCCAATGGATTCCACTGGATTCTGAATGGAATTCCAATGGATTCCACTGGAATCTGAATGGAATTCCAGTGGATTCTGCTGGACTCTGAATAGGTCTTCAGTACTTTACCCTCCCCCACATGCTCTGATCAGAGCTGATCAGCGCTGAGCAAGACTGATTAGCACTGATCAGAACTGAGCTAGAGGTCAGGTGACTTGAGCTGTATTTATTGAAGTCAGAAATTCAAACCTCCTTATAAAATTCACAAGTGAATTAGATCAAATAATGATGTATTTCAATTATAATACAAAATATATTTAACTACATACAGTGTATACTAGAGAGGGAGGGGATGGGCAAGGAAGGGGCAGGAAATGAGGAGGGAAGGGGGAAGGGAAAAGGAAGGGAGAGGGAAGGGAAAAGGGAAAAGGAAGGGGGGAAGGGAAAAGGGAAAAGGGAAAAGGGAAAAGGAAAGGGGAGGGAAAAGGAAGGGGGAGAGAAAAGGGAGGGGGCTCGTCGTCGTCATGGGCGCTCGTCAATGTCGTCGGTTGACGTGGTTGTCGTCGTCCTCATCGTCCGTTGACGTGTGGCCATCATCCTCGTCGTCCGTTGACGTGTCGCCGTCATCCTTGTCGTCCGTCGACATGCGGCCGTCTCGTCGATGCTGACGTGTCATCCATTGACGTGACGTGTCGTCCTCGTTGTCATTGTCCTCGTTGTCATTGTTGTTGTCCTCATCGTCATCGTCCGTTGTCCTCGTTGTCCTCGTTGTCATCTGTTGTTGTGTGTTGACGTGTCCTCGTCGTCCGTCGTCGTCCGTTGACGTGTGGCCGTCCTCGTCGTCACTGACGTGTCCTCGTCGTCATGTCGTCGTCCATCGTCGTCGTTGTCCATTGGCGTGGGCGTGATTGGAGGTGACCGCGCTGGTTGCGGTGACGGTGGTGGTGGTTGTTGTTGTTGTTGACAGCAAAACGGAGATGCTGATGGTGACGCTGGCAAACGCCGTGACTCGTTTAGGAAGGTGGGCGTGAGGATGGGTTATATAGAATTAATGTTGCCAGGCATTTAACAGCCATATGGTGTAGGGGAAATATTGCTGCTAAGAGATTCATGTGATATTTCCCAAGGCTAGAGTTCAATCCTCATGCATCCACTTATTTTCTTATATATATTATAATAACAACAACAAATATTGGAATTCATTGGAATCTCTCGGAATCTGTTGGAATTTGACTGGAATATATTAAATGTACTTTCCATGGGAATTCCATGGAATCTGGTTGGAATTCCAATGGATTCCAATGGAAACTGTTCCAGGAGGCTCCCGGATTCCAACCATTTCCACTGGATTCCATCAGATTCCATTGGAATTTCCATGGAATTGGAAACCAGAATGGCTGAGGCTCCAGCCAACTGGTTTCCGTCGGAATTCCATGGAATTCCGACATTCCACTTGGAATCCACCAGATTCCACCGGAACTCATGGGGGATGGTAAAGGCCTCGGTCAGTCTGGTCTTAGGACTGGAAAATTTTCCCTTTTGGGTGCCCTAATTGTGTGGGGGAAATTTAATTACAATGTGGTAGTGGCAAAACTGACTGAAAAGTCAAAAAACTGTACTTTCAAACACTACAAGTTAGATCTCACATAGTCAACAGATGGGATCTCTTGTGCATTCATTTGGCAGGAAGGATATTCAGAGACTTTCAAAGAAGGATGGTGGTATTGAAAAAGAAAACTTTGTGATCTGGCATTTGTAACAACCCTGGTCCATCAAGGATGACTTATTAGTTACCCTTAATCTCTTGTAGATGTAGATGGATGTCTATTTGTGACATTGAGTGAGCTGGCTAATGTAATCATGCTGATGATTGCTACAGTTCTCATATCGTATCATACATAGAATGTGCTGGCTGAGATAGATTTTTCAGTTATTCTGCCTTTTGGCTTCAGTGGTTCTTTTTGCATTCTAAGGACTGCATACAACTGGGGGCTCAAAACACCCAAACAACCCACTCCCTTCAACCTTGAACACACAACCACTGATTATCCTTGTGAGGTACTTTCAGTTTGGCACCTAAATAATCCACACTCTTCAACCTTGAATGCATACAACCACTGACTATCCCTGTGATGTACTTTACAACAACTACCATAATAACCCACCCCATATTCCAGTGATCATCAATTATCCATTTGACTCAGGTCTAGAAACTGCTAGATATTCAAGTATTGGCCAGCTTGCAATTATGCACCACCCCCAATTGTCAATCTTGCACACACATACAAGCATAAGTTTCATTGACAAAATTTCACCCTGAAATGGAGGTCTCTTGAGTGCCTTCACCATGACCATATGTAAGGGTGAGTGCCAGTATGCACTTGATAATGCATTGAAGTTCAAAAAATCATAAAAAGGCTGAATTTGCTGGGCACTGAGAAAAATAGGTGATAAGTTTGTGTATGGGTTGATATTTTGCACTATGGCAACTAATTTTTTTTTTAAAAAATGTCCATGCTCTGGCAATCTCCCTTCTTTTCTGAAGTGAAGCAATAAATTTCCCAAAAAGGTTACACCTGACAGGAATCGAACCTGTGCCACTTGCTACCTTTTAACTTTTTGAACAATGGAAGGCAAGCATGATAAACACTTCACCACAGGTGTTGTCAAACTGAAGATGAGATCAACTAACATTCATGTCATGTAATTTCAATCACTACTCATAGGTCACCAACTGTCACTCATCTTATCTGGAGCAATTCACTAAGTCACCACAAAAAGGAGCTGAGAATATTATGTTGCTTTTGAGTAATGCAATCATGTATGTTTTCATGGCACATATACATGTCATTTTATCCCCCCTTCATGACCTACCTTTAGTCTTCTTCAAATCCTTGAAAAGTTTGGTTATATTGCTCTATCTTGTTTTAAGTGTCTCTGATTACTTTCTAATATTGCAAATCCTATAAAGACAGAGGGGAAATGGGCAAGTTATGTAAAATGATCCAACAACTTGAAAGCACCAATTCAGATATTTTCAAGATTTTCATATGTATCTCCTTACCAGTGCCCATTTTTATCTGTCAAAATTTTTACATAGATATTTCAATACTACAACCTGCCATTCTGATCCCAACTTTTTTCTTCACTTCTCAAGTTGGATCATATGATGAGATATGTAGAGGCAGCAGCTGAACTTAGGGTCGCTGGAGGGGAAATTTCTTTCAGTTATGGTCTGACACTTTCCCATTATTTTTTTGACTTGTGTTGCAACACCAGGCAGAATGACTAACACTTTCAAAATGAGGACATGATTTTTCAAGAAGAACAAAAGCATGAACAAGCTTTCTATATTTTTCAATGCACCTTCCAAAGAGGCTTTAGAGCTTCTTTAACATTTAAAATAATCTGGCATTGCCTTGGTAGAGATGGTCAACAAAATACAAGTATCAAAAAAAGAAACATTGGGTGTAAAAAGAATCTTGTCAAGTTCACTTCACAGTAAAGCTGCATACATGGAAACCAATACTGTCTGAACACACCATAAATATATAGTACACAGTAATCTGGGCCATTTATTTACAGAGAGTTGAAAGAGAAGAAATATGGTGGCTGCCAAAGGTAGATCTACAGTTTATTCTTTGAAACCTTAACATCAATCAAGTATTCCATTTCCATTTGTAAATGACTTACTAACTGCTAAAGAGGAATTGAATCTTCAAAATAATTGCCTAAACAGCACAAAGCTACTTTACCTTGAAAAAGGCCTTCATCTTTCTCAACCAATTTGGTATAATTTCTTTCTGTCTTCTGTTGAATCATCATGGTTTTTGGCAGGTTGAGCACTTGCTATATCAGATGGAGATTGAGATGCTAGCTTGTCTGAATCTTTTGCTCTGTCATTGTTACCCATGATTCTTTGTGTCATTGTAAGCCTGGCCATTGCACTCTTTGTATCAGGGTGTTCTTCTCCAAAAATTCCCTTCTTCAAATCAAGAACTTGGATCTGCAGCTTCTCTGGTTCTGCGTATTTTTTCAAGTCTCTGAACGAGTCAGCAAGGTTGGCCATAGCTTGAACTGTAGATGGGTGCTCTGCTCCCAATGTTCTGGTTGTTATATCCAGAACTTGGATTTCCAGCTTCTCTGCCTCTTCATATTTTCCAAGAATGTTATATGTTGATGCAAGATTTCCCATGTTAATGAGTGTATCAGGGTGTTCTTCCCCAAGATTTCTCTTGCTTGTAGCTAGAACTTTGATTTGCAGCTCCTCTGCTTCTGTGTGTTTTCTCAAGTTGTGATATATGGATGCAAGGTTTGATTGGAAAATGGTTGTTGCAGGGTGTTCAGCTCCAAAAATTCTGATACTCAGATGAACAGCTTGGATCTGAAGCTTTTCTGCCTCTGTGCATTTATCAAGAGACTCCAATGTTCTTGCAAGGTTTGCCATGGCAGCAACTGTATCAGGGTGTTCTTCTCCAAGAATTTCCTTCTTTTTATTCAGAACTTGAATTTGTAACTTCTCAGCTTCTTTGTAATTTCCCAATTTCTTCTGAATTTGTGCCAGATTTGCCATTGGCTGGAGCAACTGTGGGTCTTCTTCTCCGAGAGTGCTTTTCATGGCATCTACAGCTTTGATCTGCATCTCATAGGCCTCTTTGTATCTACCCTGATGCAGATAGGTAAGTGAAAGGTTTCCCATAGTATGCATTGTATTTTGGTGTTCTGGTCCAAAAAGCCTTTTTGATAGATGTAGGACATGTAGATGTAATTTCTCTGCATCAGCATATTTACCCAGATCCATATATGTGCTGGCAAGCCTTGCTTCAGCCATCATTGTATGGTAATGTTCCCTTCCAAGAGCATTGCTTCTTAGATCCAGAACTTGCTGCTGCAGCTTCAATGCCTCACTTGGATATCCTTGCTCCACTAAGAGCTGTCCAAATTTTTCATATGCATCATCAAAATAACTGTCACCTGCCTCTTGGCTTTCAATTCTCCTATACTGCATATTTTCTCTCACATGTGTGACCAAGGCCTGTCTGAATTCATATGGCTGCCTTTCAAAATTTCCATACAAAGAATCTGATAAAGTTGCATATGCCATGTTGCCATATTTTTTCCTCTCATCCAGAGACATTCTGTCTTTACCCCAGGCATGAATCAGTGGATGCACAGTATAAAGACCATCAGATGAGCCCAATCTGATGAGAGAGAATGACAATAACACTCAAAGGCCTTCCTTGAAGATAAAATCATCCCAAGTACCTGCCTCATTGACAGGGAGTAGTGTGCAGTCCAGCTTGGAACTCACAATTGGCAAGGCAGGTGTATTATTTATCTGATGATGGTGGTGCTTGTGCATAGCAGCATAAGAAAAAATATTCCTCATAATACCATCATAATGAAAGAACACAAACAAGCCCAAAATAAGCATTGCACTCTGAGCTGCCTTAGCCTTATCAAGATCATCAGATTCAGCTCTTCTCAGGATTTCCAGGTATGATAATTCCCAAGTTCCATAGACAGTTCTATTGTATTTGGAAGCCCCTTTAAATTCTGAGTGAGATAATAAAATCTCTCTGTGTTGATAATATTTGGAAAGATAATCTCTGATATTGGTGGCCCCAGAAGCAATGTAAGCACCAGCTTGATCAATAGCAAGAGGCATGTGAAAAAGTTCTTTCACAATCTTAGAAGCTTCAGCTTTTAGCTCTGTTCCAGAAGTATCCAAGCAAGCAGCCTTTAGCAACAGAAGGATGGCATCATCCTCTTCCATCTCTCCCACCTCACAAGAATTCTCAGGGGATGTCAAATGCTGCATAGCAGAATTGCGACTAGTGATCAGAATATTTCCCCCTAGACCAGATGGAAAATAGCCCTCCAGCTCCTCTGGTGTCAGAGCATCAGCATTATCAAAGACAATTGCATAGTTATCCCTCAAAGAACCAATCCAAGAGAGAGCAGATTCAAGTGACCCATCTAGTGACTGGGTCTGAGCTACAGGAAGATTGCAAATACCCTTTAACACCTGTGTGATGAAACCAGCAGAAGATGCATCAATCCAGAAAACATGAGAAAATCTGAGCAGTCAAAGATTAGTCAAGTTGATATGGTGTTCCAGTTTGAGAGGCCTACTTGTCCGACATGTCCTCGATAAACCTCAGGCAAATCTGAGTCTTTCCGATACCCCCCATTCCATATAACAAAAAGTACTTCCTGCTGCGACGTTCAATGTCAGGGCCCTTTGCAAAATGATCATGCAGTTTGGCAAGAATTTCTGTCCGCCCTGTGAACCGTGTGCTTAGGTTTGGCATTAACGGAATAGCTGCGCCAGATGTCGTTCTATGGCCCAAGTGCAAGTTGTAATTGATCTGCGGAAGATACACATATGATCGATAAATGTGCGCGGCATCAATGAGAAAAGGACTTTCACATACAGTTTCGGCTACGTTGACTGACCTGCTCACAACGACGTTTCGAGCGCCGGAGAAGATGTTGATCCCGCTCATGTTAGAGGGAGGATGGTTGTTGCCTGTAGGAGGGAAGGACATGAGGCGAAAGAAAGAAGCAACCGCTGAACGACAGGAGATCCCCAAATTTGCGGACCGAAATTTCCCATACTGTGACCACCTGACATTTTGACGCGCAGGTATCACAATCTTCCGTTCATCGGTTGTTTACAGCTGAAGGGCGCTGAGGACCTAAGAATGTCAAACAGGCACGTGGCGAATCGCAAGATTAATTTTGCAGAAGTTGACAACGATATGCTCTCACAACGATGAACTGTTGAACGAAGGCGAACATCCACAGCACGACAAACATCACCTGTTACGCGCTACTCAATCCATTTGCCAGCTCCTCAACTGCCCGTTCCCTTCATCTCCTCAGGCTCCTCTCGCTCATTCCCCTCATCTTTGATCTCTTCTCCGACTGAGAGGTGTTTTGTGTATTCCTCAGCAGTGCCCCGCCGTCAAGAGTAAAGCTGGCATTCTAACCTAGATGCAAATGGCGTGAGTTCAAGGGGCATTTGAGGTGGATGTGTGAAGCCAAGTTGCAAGTGTTGTTAAAGACGATCTTGTACAAAATTACTTGTTCAGGCATGTAATGAGATTTTACGAGTAGAACGGACCATCTGCGCGCTGGTTGAGCATATGCGGACCGTGGAGGGCGCAAATAGCACCTAATCGTGATGTGAACTGTGCTTGATGGGATTGACCTCTGGGCGGTCAGTTTGGAGCACCAGAAACCAGGCATGTAAATGATCGGCATTTATAGAGTCATAAGAAGCTGCAGGGAATTATAGAGAGGGCCTGGGATGGGGGGTTTGATATTTTAATTTCAAACCGGAGTGGGAAAGCAGCAGTAGAGGGAGGGATCTGCAACAAAAGCAGAAGAAAGGAAAGCGGAAACGATGGGGTAGGGGTAGGTAAGAGATATAAGTCTAGCAGTCTGCACGAGAGATGACGAACACCTCTTCGAGAAAAAGAAAGGAGGGGGAGTGAAGGAGAAAACTCGAAGGAGGCGCGACGTACCATATGCCGTCATTCTCATCAGCGAAAGCCTGCATTGAGCAAGCATTGAGGCGACTGAGGGCGCAAAATGATAAATCACGAGTAGTAGAGTGCTGAACGCCGGCATGAGGCCATTGTTTGAGACAAGCTGCTGCAGGTCTACGCATTGGTTAATTAGCAGTAGTGGTCGTGTGGGAGGCACGTACCACTTGTTCTGTAGGTATCTGGTGAGAGGCGCGAGCAGGGGAGAGTTGTTGTCATGTTGTTTGGCTATGTTTTAAAACGAAGTAATTTGACGCCACCAAATATTAGCAAATATTCTACTCGACCACGACTGACCCAAGACTGACTTTTGAGGAATTCTCCTGCTTAATCGCTTGGGTCACCTCCGAGGAGTTGAGGTAGGCACTTCCTCCGCATTACGGAACTTGCTTTGTCAATGAAAGCCTATCACTGATCATAGATTGAAAACAGACGATGCTGACCCGGCAGACTACTTGCCGCCCTCTCATATCAGTTATGTTGAAATTTATTGTGAATGACGCGTCGGTATTGATTTTCGCCTTCAATCCTTAGGAAATGTGCAGAATACATGAATAATGAACCCGAACTCCTTCAGCAGGAGTCTGATCATTTGAAAATCAGGCTCCGTTCCCGCCGGGGGTGGTTGAAAAGCCTTATGGAGCGAGAACCTGATGAGATTAGTATCTTACTAGAACTCTTATATAAGGTGAGCTTGTTTTTTCTTCTGTTAAGGCAGTCACCCCAGTAAGCTGGCCGGCGAGCTCAAGAGGCGAAGCAACTCCCCAACGTTGCTACCTATCACCAGTGGAAATATCGAGGCTTACCGTAACAGCTTGTGCAGCTTTCGTCCCGGACTCTCCTCAACCAAAGACTCATGCTTACGGACGGTACCTCTTTTATCCCCCAGGGAACCCTTGCACCTATTGCGTACAAAGAAAAAAGGGCATTCACGTCATATGAAGGAACGAAATATATACTCCCATCGGATGAACTTGAACGAGAAAGGTGAGCAGAAAGTAGTCAACTGCTAGTCAGAGGCCCGCTCATCGCCTCACCAGACTTGAGAAGCAGCATCGCATTATTACGCAGGCATTTGATAACAAACTAGTTCTTCCCCCTGTCATCTTGAAGAAGGGAGACAAGGTCCTAGATTCCGCTACAGGAGGCTGTGAGTTAATTCTGGTTTTCGTATGAACGTTTGAATGACATCTTTCCAACCGTCATAGGCAATTGGCTTTTGAACTGTATGAAGAACGTCCCAAGCTCAGTGGAAATTTATGGAATTGACATCGAAACACGTCTCTTCCCTGCAGCTGACTGCCTCCCTGACAATGTCCACCTTTCCCTCAACTCCGTCACAAATCTGCCTTCGAAATGGAATGACACATTCACCTTGATCAACCAACGTCTTCTTATCCTGGCATTACAGAACCACGAATGGGTGGTCGCGTTGAAAGAGCTCCACCGCGTTCTCGCCCTAAAAGGGTGGTTGCAACTTTGCGAGGTAGACCCTTTCATCCGCAAAGGAGGACCTGTTGTCGACAAGATTAATGCGCTCCGAATTGCCTTGTGCGATTCAAAGGGCTTGGTGGTTGATATTGCCAGTCAATTGCCTGAAATTCTCCAAAATGCTGGATTCGTAGACGTGCATGTCGTTTGCCGTAGCACGCCCCTTGGAAAATGGGCGGGTAAATATGGTGAGGACGGAAGAGACAATATTGTAAGCCTCTGGAAAGGCCTGAAAACGCCAGTAATGATGGCAGGTGGTTTGGGCATTGTCCATTCGGAGGAAGAGTTCGATGATATGTTAGAGGATCTGGAGCGGGAACTAGATGGGACACCTGGGGCGCAGAATCCTTTTTTCATGATCTACGCACAAAAGCCAGAATAAGTATTAGACATCAGCGCCCCTAAATCCGGTTCTAAGTACCTGATATCTGGCTGCGGTCTTGTATATTCAATGAACGTGTCATATATCTCTAAGCATCTCTCTTAGTACGCTGCGATCTAGGGTAGTATGTGGGTATATTCAGCAAGTGGTTTGCTCAACTCTCCTCACATGCCTCCACCCAAAGCAAGCCCCCACCTTCCGCCGATGGATCCATGATACACGAGAAATGTGTCATCTCGTTCCGCAAAGGGTATGTGCGCAGCCACTGTCGCACTGTATCAACCGTAACGCGCACAGCCCGTTGTCTTTGGAACAAATTCGCAACGCACTCCTTCCGCTGAATGCTATCATTCACTATATCCCTGGCGCAGGCGAGTTCTGGGACCTGGGCCCACTGCTCGGGGTCCCAAGATTCCATAGACGCGTCGTGGTTCGTGACAGCGAGAAACTTATCAGAGGTGTGGATGGTGGCTGTCTTTAAGTCTTTCTCGATGACTAGGACCGCTCTGGGGGTACAGAAGGTCAGGTAGCTCGTCGAAGCGTGAAGCGTAGTAAACTTGCTGGCCAGCTGGTCCAAGGTGGGTGGAGGACCTGGGGACAGCAAAATTTGGCGAAGGTGGCTCGCAATGGCTGGGGTGCGGCCGAGAAGGAGACTGAGCTGATGTTGGCGATGCGAAAAGATGGAAGATTTTGAGTTGATGTTCGCGCGGTAGTTGAGTGACATTGAGAGACCTTCTCTTACGCCAGTCAAACACCCCACGTAGCCCGCGTATGTTACGCCCCTATAGTATGAGAATGTCAGATGGAATCAGAGACTTTGTGAGAACCACTACTTAACGTACCTGGCAACTACCTTCCCATCTCGCACATACTCAACACGTATGATCAAATCTCGCAGGGGGTCCATGCCCCAGTCCAGACCTCGAAAATGGACGATCCCACCCACATCTTTCGCCTTCACACCCCCACTAATGCATCCCGAAAAGAGGTCCAAAAAGGTGTTGTACGCAACCACGAGGTTCAGCGGAACCCCAGTCGCCTGTGCAATGCCACGAATCTCCGCCGTTTCCTCGTGCGAGTGCACCCGTCTGAGAAGTAACGTGGCCAGGAACCCCAAAAGACGAGGGTAAGGCGTGGAATCCAAGATATCGTCGTATATCCCCGTCATTTCGGAGATCTCATGTTTGAAGTCGTTGCAAATGGTGGTATACCGTGACTGCGGAGGGAGTGAGAGGTCGATGGAGTAGAGAGGGGGTTCCTCGGTGTTTATTTCCATGCGAATCCGGCGCCTGCTCTCTGTCTGGGTAGTGCTGCTGCTGCCGCTGGTCGTGGAGGCGACAGATTTCACTGACCGCCGTCGGTTCATGTGAGAGCTTGATGAGGGTGTGTCAATTGCGATAACTCTTTCTTGGAGTCTATCAGGAGCGTTTTATGCGGTGCATTAACCCGTAAGGAACCGAAAGGACCATGTATAAGAAAGAACCAGTTATGCAAAGTCATGTATAAGGAATGGGATGAGGCGGTTCAGTGCAGTGTCAAGGAACTGTCAATGTTTGCGCATGTTGGAGAACCAACCTGCCAAGCTTTTCGTATCAAGTTCGACCTTTCAGCTGTGCTGAATAAAACCTGATAAATTTGAATTCACAGGAGGATCTACCAAGGATAGATAAAACGATTTGTCCGTGAGTTTGAACCACGCTTGTGACAGGTATATCTAACTGTTAATCCTTATTGCACTACCCAGGACATCCAACGACGCAAGCTGTCCCCAAGTGGTGAACGACTGTGGAGGCCCATGCCAACTCGAGGAATAGGTTGACTTAGTCGCCGCAAGGTCGAGAAGAGCGTTGTACTACTCCTATGATTAGGACGGTCGCCAAAAATGTACCAAGTATCGATACGCACCTGAACGTCAACATAGCTACGAAGTAGAACACGGAGATTTGCGTTCCGAGGATTTCTCGAGAAAGCCTCGTAGAGACCACGGATGAAGATAGCTGAAGGGGAAAAAATAGCATCAACGTCAATTGCAGAGAGAACACGAAAATCTAACATTTAAAACCGACTCCATCATTATTGCTCGTCGGACTGGAGCCCTCTGTGATGATGCCATCGCTGCCTTGCCACGTAGATGACTTGACCGCCGCCGCAACGGTGTGCACCATTCTGTAACACGCGTCAGCAAACTCAAAAGAGGTGCCAAAAACTAGCCACTCACAAATTGTTCCACTGAGAATCCTTCGTAACACTTGCGAGAACGCTCAGGCCTTCAATAAATTTACCGCTGTTATAAGTGAACAACCAGTTCGAAGGGGACCGAGTACAGTCGTGCCCGTTGACTGAGTCCAGGATAATTCCGTTAGCGTTGATGTTGTGCGCTTTGATCCACTGTGCACTTAGGACCGCTGCTTTTGTGTACTTCGAGTCCCCAGTAATTTCCGCAAGAAGAGCAGAGGTACTGCTAGCAAATTAACTGCAAAGAAAATGCAAAATCGCCAGTAACTTACGCAATGTACAGTCTAAAATAAAGAAATGCCTATTAACGCCGAATTGTTGAGTTACAAGCGGTACGCACCCGGTAGTGATGGAGTTGATGCTTTGATCATCCGTGGTGGTACGCTGAAATGGGTTTAGTGTGAAAATGGGTTTAGATGAAATAGTACTTACCCAGAAAACACCGCCAGCCATGGTCGCTGGTAAAAAAATTAATAATGTGAATGGGCAAGCAAAGCATGGCCGAATTAACCTTCATTACAGCTGCCAGCGATCGAAAAGTTCTTTTTGGGCTGCTTTTTCGAGTTCGCGTCAGCCTTAGTAATGACGCTAGACGACACAGCTGGGCGTTGAGTGTCAACCAAATAGGCTGTTCTGCGCAACTTACTAGTTTGTGACTTCATTCCAAGTGTCAACGGCATGCGACAAAAGATTTTGGTCCTTATAGGCTCTGTAGCCCGACAATGCTGCTTGCGCCCACCAACTTGAATAGATGTATGAGGTCAAAATAGGACAGATGGAATTTCATTCTTCACGTACAGCGCATCGTCGTTGTACTAAAGAAAATGGCTTGTCAGGGGTTCAAAGGGAACAAGTCAAAGGATGACGCACGCTACGATATTCGTGAAGGAGTTAGATTTGAATAAAGGAAGAAAGCAGCCAAGACGAACCCATATTTATCATAATGCGCGTGTAGTTTGAATGCGGTATTCAGGTTATTCACGACTAGAGCTTTGTTCTTGTCAGTCCCCGCGAAATGGTCGTGATTCGCAATCGCAGTCCAAACGTTCCCCGCTTGCCAGTATCCGATGCCTTGAAGTTAAGCATGAGCCGAGCTCCAGATGGTTTGCAGAATACGTAAAATGGATACGCACCATTGAATTCACCAGTTGCAGAGTCCAGTTGCGGCAGAATGGAGTTGATAGCGTCTTGAGAGATGGAGATCCGCTCGGAAAGTGGTCGAGAAGTGCTTGGTTTCTAAAGGGGTGCAGAGGTCAACGTCGTGCCTGGCCTTCAGAATAGTACAGCGCGCAAGACCCACCCTCCATGACGTTGGTACGCTCAAGTCCTGGGCGGAAACAAGGGCGAAAAGGAGGGAAAGAACGTAGATGAAAAGAATGTGTCCACCAGTCGGCAGGGGCATCTTGGAGTTGAATGATCGTTGAAAGCAAGAGTGTAGAAGTAGAAAAGCTAGACCTGAAACACTTCGCATGATGAATGAGTGGCAGTCCACACCCTGCTCGGGGCCGGCAGTGACAGGACAACACGGATCAGTGTGGTCTCCATCATCGCGGCATGTGCCTTCGCGACCCCGTATTCGACGAGATTCGACGAGCAATGGACTCATTGCGTGAGAATGACTCCAGTCCACAACGAATGATATTCCTTCAACAAGGTGACGAGCTTGACTTAGCTCGTTTGAGATGTGCGGTCGCCACGTTTGCGTTTGCCATTGAGCGCATGATTTTAGAAAATTGAAAGCGAGCTGACGAATCTCCCCGGGCGCCGTCATTGACAACAGCTTGCTTCTATCATGATTAACTGTTCGCATGCTGTGTAGAAGCATTGGGAGTGCTTATGGAGATTGTGATCAGATAACTAAACTTGTTACTTACTAAGTACGTTGGCATCCATTGCGGCCAAGGCGAGATTGCAGCTGATGTTTAGTGCAATCTAATCCACCACGGAAGCATTCGTAGTGCGTTGATAAGTGGGTTGGCGTGGCAGCAGGGAGTACGGAGTTTTTGAGTTCACAGACGAGTTGAGTTTTGAGGCTGAGGGCCATCAACGTCAAGTTGGCCCGTAAATCTAAAACCAGCGATGAGTGATACCTTGTCCAGCAACATTGCTGGGTTTGGAGATGGCATTCCACAACCGTTTACTATAGAGAGTTGATAGGAACCTGGCGCAGGAGGAGACGAGGAGTTGTTTGTTTCGGTGGCCATCGGACCTTGTAAATTTGAAATTGATCAGTAACTTCAATAACGACTCGGAAAACTTGAACAGAATCAGACCACCACTCTTATAACTTGCTTGCAACCATACGGAAAGGAAGTTCAAATTTCAAGCAATCTCGAAGATACATCGACTTGATCAATACTTTGGGTCCTTCAATGGCATGTTGCTGGTAAGCGCTGTTTGCAGGCTCGGAGTGGCTCATGATTGTGAACCCCACTACTCAGGCTTTCGTTCAATCAGGGAAATTTGGTTCTGACGAGGAGTCCGAGTCGTCACCTCCACGTAACGCGTATGCTCTTTGGAACGGCCATTGGATCACTGAAACAGTCAGAGATGGAACTCTTTGATTGCGTCTTTCCACAGGTTTTGCTTTGACTACGACGAATTACTCCCGACCATCTCTTCGCCATATAGAACCATAACTACATTTTGAAGGACACATTTTACGAGAAAAGTATACACGATGCACGATGATGAACTATAGCAGAAGTGGTTGGTGGATTTTACCTTCGGGTAAGTCGTTCAGGTGATCGGTAAGATATATATATCCTTTCTTACAACGTTCACGTGAAGGGAGCACTCGCCGGCTATACTTTGACACGAGTGGAGGACAAGACTCCAGAATCTCTGCTTGCTAGATTTCCCCAACGGGCTCCACTACGCGATATTCTCGCACTCTTTCTTAGATTCTATCGGGCACATGCAACGTCTCAACATCATCGGTCGGAACTTTATTCAACATTTAACGTTTATCTTCCACGTACGTGGTGTTTTTCCAAGTCGTCATTGATGTCCGCTCAAGCTCATCCTCCAGCACTGCACTGTGGACTTTGACTTTCCATACGGCCAATTTGATAGCAATATTCCTGTTGCGCAACAGTTTGAAGCTTTTGTCCCAAGTGCGAGAGCAAGGTGTGCAGACAAATTCAAGAGGCTAGGCTGACAACAAATGGGGACCACAACACGCTTTGGCTCTTAAGAGGGCCTCCCTTCTCCGGGTAATGCATACTGCCCCTCTAGAAGTTCTTGTTTTGGAAGGTATCAACGAAATCGCGACCACCTTTTCCAACCTCCTCGGCTTGACGTTGATCATTCGGGCCAATGATCGGCAGAAGGAAAACAAATCTGTGACATGGCCCCGGGCGTCGGCCGTATCTCTACGCCTCCGACACTTTGGCTGGAACTTCTGCATTGACGTCATGCAATGCGTTCCGAGCGGCTTAGTTCTCCTTGAAATTGGCTTCGCCACGATCGAGGAGTAGTATAGAGACGTCGAGAAATGACGAGAAATAGACCGACGGTATTCACTGTGCAGCCTTCCCTTTCGCCGCTCGCTGCCAAACCCTCGAAACCTTTGTGCTGATGCGTTTCGGGTCGTCAGACAACAAGAGAGAACTTTTTCTGTGGTGGGGTCAGTGTTTTCAGGGTACAAGCGAACCTCAGGGACCTTGTCAAGAAGGTAGAACGATGGGAACCTCCTATTGCTGGCTTACGTCTTGAAGAAGCAGAAGGCTATCTCAAGCTCGCGGTACAGATTGAATTAGCGTCCAAGGGATATGTCGGTGAAATTATCTTCAATATCGTGTTTCCCCTCTTCATCTCAATTGATTTTCAGGTTGAATTGGTAACCCCCGGCCTGAAAATTGGCCAAAAGTGCCGGCGGAAGTGGTCAATATCGAGGGTGCGTTACGTAATTAACTGCGATGTTGCCCCGTTCGGGAAAGTGCAATACCAAATTTGATTCCGCGCACACCTAATAAACTCATAAACGATTAAATTGGTTTGTATGTAATGGATCGCGACGTTCAAACCCGACGACGATGAGGGACCGCCAGTACACACTCTTGCCGGCGTCCTCCTCGTTCTCCACGACGTCCAGCTCGACGAAAGTGTTCCCCAGAACGTTGACAAAGCGATATACCCGCATCCTCCTCTGCCTCCTCGTATGCAGCATCGTCTACGTCCTCCTGCCTTCCCGCTCCGTCTCACCACCTCCTTCCCTCTTACCTTCTTCCCCGCCGACGCATATACCCCCATATCCGACGCCTCAAGACCTGCCACCGACCGCATCGAATACTCCGCCTTTGTACGAAGCTTACACGGCGTATGAGCACCAATTAGGTGCGGATGCTCTCAACGCAAGCGCAGAGCCGGAGGGGAGATACATATTCTTTGCAAACCACGGCTCAGGTTGGGGATGGGGAAACGCGTTGCAGGAAATCGTGGTCACGGCGCACCTGGCGTGGAGCGCGGGGAGAGGGTGTGGTCTTCTCATTTATCTATCTTTTTGTGCCCATTTTAATCGCGATGGATAGCTATGTATATGACAACTACACATGGGACCGATATGGCCCTGAATATTCTCTGTTTAATGGGAATTCGTTCATACCATCCCGCGTACCCTTGTCGACGATGATAGCTGGTCCGTTTCCTCTTCCCTTTCCCCCACGATTGTTGTAATTTGAATCTTAATAAAATTAGGACACATCGTCGGCTTGCCCCCCGATAATTTAACTACCGCACCCGATACGCCACGCGCAATTCCCCACCCGCTCTATGAGTCCATCTGTCCCCCTTCTTCACGCGTGTATATATCAACCGAGGAAATGCGAACGACCTGGATTGACCGCAATGCGTGGTTAGATGACATAGAGGAGGATATGTACGACGACTACGATAGTTTCGATTCAACTCCGTCTTCAAGCGGAGAAGGTAAGCACTTACGTTGACTCGATAGGTGTCGAAAAAAAAAATGATTGACACTCCTAAGATTCCGAGCCAAATTCTTTTTCACCCCAGAGGAAAAAGAATCAAATTCTCCTCGCAGATGCATCCGCGCACCAACTTCTGTCGGCGTGGGTGGCCCGCTTGAACGAACCGGACTTGAGAGATGCGCGCTGCGTTGAGGTGAAGAAGGGGGAGGTCAACGTCTTTGATATTTGGTGAGGTCATGTTGCGTTTATTTTCCCTCCTTTTTCTTTCAATCAATTTGCTGTTGATGAATTCAATACTTCGTAATGTCCCCGCACCCTAGGCTACCGTCACGCTAACTCAGCTTCCCTCAGGCTATTCGGCTCCAAACGCATACAGGACATCTGGCCCTCCCTCTCGCGTTCCCCCGTGCTCACCCAATGGGCATGGTCCCCGCTCATTCACCGCGCGTTCGAAAAAAACAGACAATTTTTTGAAGGGCCAAACTTCTCGTTTAAAAATTCTTCTTCCGCTTCCAATTCCTCCTCGCCTTCAAATTCGGCTGGTCCATCACCAACCCCTTCTACAGATATTATCGACAAGACCAACACCCCACTGCCCCTCTTAGCCCTCCACCTTCGACGAGGGGACTTCATCTCCCACTGCGCCCATCTCTCCAATTGGAATTCCACATTCACGGGATTTAATTCCTTCCCAGACATGAGTCTCCACACTGGGGACGCATTCGTCGTTCCGCGCGTTGTGGAGAGTAATGTTAGCGCTAATTCGGCGGGGAATTCTGAAGGGGGATTTACGTCTAGGGCAGGGAAATCGTTTACTACTCACCCAACCGTGCCAACCATGGAAGCCAAACGGAAGGTTTATTACGATCATTGTATTCCTGATGTCGGGCAGGTGGTGAGGAGGGTGAGGGAGGTCGTGCAGGATTATTTTGCCTTTGTTGAGCAGATGGAGAGAAATGCGTTGGCTGAGGAGATGCGGAAGGAGGGGTGGTTTAGGTTTTTGGTTTGGCGGAAGGGCGGGAGAACAGTGGGGCTTGAAGGGAAGGGGGATGGGGGACGAACGAAGTGGAGTGGGTTGCGCGGGGTGTATATTATGAGTAATGGGGATCGAGCGTGGTTGGAGGAGGTTCGGACTGCTTTGAAGGAGGACGCTTTGAGCGGATGGGAAGTGGCCCTTGGGGATGGGGAGGTTAGAATAGGAGGTGCGTTGAGGGTTTTTATTTTGCCCTCTGGCCTTTATTTTGATTCATCTGATTCTCCCAACATCAGAACCCTGGGCCTGGGACGGGATAGCAACTAGCAGGGACCTCCAACTTGGATGGGAAGAGAAATACGTAGCGCAGGCGCTAGATATGTATGTCGCGCAGAGGGCGGAGGTATTCATTGGAAACGGGGTGCGTTTAATTCAATCCTTTTGTCTTTTACGATTCCTCTAATTTTTACACTCTCCCGTCCCCATCTTCGTGTATTTTTTTGTCACAGTTCTCCAGCCTCACTTCAAACGTCGTCATGCTCCGGAAATTTGCAGGACTCCAACCCATACAAACACGATTTTGGTGAATGGCCACTCGGACCTCGCGCTTTGTATTTTATTTGGTAAATTAAAAGAAAATAGAGTATCATACTTGGCGTGTCGATAAGCAGTAGTTGAACTAGCAACTAGTAATCATGTAGCCTAGATTTTTATTCGCTGAGTTCTGAAGGCTGCGTGAAGCTCGAGAGAACTTGTGCACCGATTGCGCTCAGAAAAATCTAACACTCTGCAACTAATTGTTGACGGAAGGGTACGAGATCAAATATGTGCCAACTCAGAAGGGGAGGTACTGGTGGGGCATAGGAGTAGCAGACTTGGCCAGACAACGTCAAGCCGGGTTCATGAAAAATGATTCGTAGGAAGGAGGTGGTGAGATTACATAAAGAGCGTAATCGACGTAGTCGGCTCGTCACTCCAGCGCCGAGTCCTCAATTTATAGCTTCATTTTGTGCCTCCTTCACCACTCTGTTTACCCCCGCGATCCGAGTTTAAGCGACTGTCGAGGTTTTGAAAATTACGCGGCATTTGACTCGCGATTGATAAAATTGTGCCCAGTACTAGTATTACCGGACGTGATTATTTCCGTAAACACCGTTGAAAACATCTGCATCGTTTCTCCGTCGCCTGTTACCTCGGGCCGCCTCCCGCGTTGAGCCATGTCATGGCGCTGCTTTAGAATTAGTAGCATCACCCGATTACAAAATATTGAATGGAAGACGCGTGTGGGGCTAGGGTTGGATCGCTTGTCATGAGTCTGGCTGTTATAAGTAAGGAATCGTACCTATGCATGACTGCCTTGTAGTATAGAGGCTGGGCAGCAAAATATTAGCAAAGAGACAGGATGAATGGATTTATACGCACGACAGGGAAAGTCGGGCTGATGATATTGATGAGACCCAATACTAGTAAGGCAAATAAATCGGTGAACGTGGCAGTAGTTAAATACAAAATACGCACCAAGGATAAATGCACAGTAAAGAAGACCTATGCTGCTATTAGTTCCCAAAACAGGAATAGGGTGTGGATGGACCAACCGTCTCTATAAAATTGATTCAGCCAAGACGAGCAAGAGAGTCGAACTAGAAGGGATTATTCATTTAGTCTCGTGGTTCTACAAGGCAGTAACTTACAGTGCTGGTAAGCTTTGATCGTCGTCAGAGTAATAGCGACTACATCCGTTTGAGATTTGTGACAAACAAAGCGAGAGATATAAACCCACCAAAGTCAGATATAAAATTCGGCAGGAATACGAGATCCAGAACCTTCCCCGGGCCTGGTTTGATGTAGCACCCCCGACCGTTTCCGTGGATAACTGATGTGTAGATTAGTACTTGATTTATTTGGCACTGACCACGATGCTTAAAGAATAAAAGGAGTGGTGAGAGCTCACATTGTAAGGAACTGAGCAGCTTTGCCTCCTGAGATGCAAAGAGCGCAATGGTGGCCTGTTAATGAGGTTGAGGCTTTTGTGATACATGTCCGGATTTTTAACAAGAGATGCCTACCACAGCTAGAGCTGCAAGGGGTATTGTGACTCGTCGCCTTGCTCCCCAAATCGCGCAGGTGCGAAGAGTGATTATCACTGAAGTGTTTGAGCCATCGGGTCCGGGTACGTAAATGAAGGACGGCACCAACGTTGTGAAATGAAGATCCCGAAACAAATGAACCCTGAAAAACGTAAGCTTTATAGCTGAAAGACGGGGAGGCGAACGAACATATGGCCCATTTACTTAAATGGGAACAGATCTAGCAACGACCGCTGGTGAGAAAATGTATCTACTGAAACTGAATGCGTACCTCGGGCGGATTCATAGAAAGCCTCACTACAGAGAACGATCGAAGTTTGTACTCGCAGGATGACGGAAAGTAGAAGAAATTCACGGTAAAGCGAGACAGATTGATCGATGAAGGGAACGTATCGGTTGAAATAGAAAAGAAGCATCCCAAGTGACGGTGGACAAGGCCATGCAAATTCAACCTGAAGACGACAATCTTAGCACCATATACGTTCGGTGAATTTCGGAACAGCGTGCGTACCTCTTGGTCGAGGGTGCAGATATAATCGTAAGTCTGATGCCAATGACTGTAAGCAACACCGTTCAACAACGTCGAAAGAACCTTTCTGACCAAAATTGTGAGGCCCGTGAAGAATAGACATGTAATTATCGTTGGGTCCCAGAACGTTGGTGGGTCGGATGCTTCGTGCTATTTTGCCCAAGAAAACGGAGTCAGAGCGGCCGAAATGGCAATCTACAGCACGCACCATGCTTTCAGGGGCTAGGGATCACCGTGGTCCTTTGAGAAACTTCAGTCGATGAACGCAACTAAAGTGGTTCAACGGGGTATCTTGAGCCTCGAGGTGGGTAAGCTTGCAAGTTGAGAACCTGGTATTCAAATACATGCTGCCTGTCCAGGGGCGTTTGTTTCCGGCAGGGTCACTTCATATTGGAAGCGTTTTCCCACAGACAAAGATATCCTTGATGAAGGGAGGTTAATGTTGTCCAAATGTTGTCTTTCGAGTCTGATTGTAGGCGCACGGCAGTTGGAGCCTGTGATAGGGACGGGGGATATGCTCTGGGTGCTTTGATTCAATTTTCGGCGGGTTTGGAGGTAGACGTAGGCTCTCCATCCCAATTTCTCTTCCTCTAATTCCGGATCAGCAGGCGACGAAGAGGCTCGTTTTTGAAATGTTCCTGGCAGGGTGCTGAGTAAGAGTGGATGACCCTCCGGGAATTTCCGAGATGTGGTGGACAACCCACGACGATCCTTACCATAACACCAACACCAACAACACCGCATTCTGGCTGTAGAAACTACAAGTCTGATACATAGTCAATTTGTCAAGGCACAAACAAGATCATGACGTTATCAGCCCTATATTTAGACCGGAAATTCTGTCCATTCAGTGAAAACCTCGATTGTAAAGAAAGGTGTTTTCCTGAGAATGATACTCTTTTTTCAGTGGGCGAAATAATATGTTAGACTGACCGAAAGTCATTCTCACTAGTTTCGAGCAGGGCTGGATATTTGAATTTGATTGCCAGGCCGGAGGTCAGGCTCAACTTGGGCCTGACCTCGTGCTAATAGGGGTCCAACTCCGTGCTTAAAAATGCCTGTCCTGAGACAGCCTGAGACAGAGTTTTATAGGGTATGTTGTAGTATGTTGTCCAACCCAAAAAAAGTCGCACCTTATCAAATTCACTAATTAGTAACACAGACGACTTCATGATCAGAACCCTTGATACAGCAAGATTACCGCATTGAAGTTCAACGGGCGCCGAGGGAGGAACTGAGTTGACCTCGAGCCTGCTAATAAGACTTGGGATTGTCAACGACGTGAAATAGCACAAAGAGATATAATACATTACTTCCAACGCGGCCGGCCCCAAAGCGTTTATAAATTAACAAAGCTGACAATGACGCAGCTCAAGTTCCAGGTTTTCAGGCTCATCAACCCCATCACCTCCACCGCCCACAATGTCCGCAACCCACGGCAACCACCATCGAAAGACAACAACGGCACCTCCCGCACAGTCATCTGATGCAAAAGCACCTCAAGAAGCCACGCTTGGCCATACCTGTCCTCATCCCCATCTCCCTCTTCCTCATCCGACTCGGGCTTTCTCAGCACGAAAGTCTGGTCAAAATACCTAGCTATTAGAATCCGAAGCCCCCTCGGAACCACCAGGATTCGCAACATCAACGTATACTTAGTACACAACTTTCCGCATCGTCCCACTCAAAAGACAGATGCTGAGTAAGAGTGGACAGAATTTCCGAGATGTGCGAATAAAGCCCCGGATCGCCAGAGCAAGTGCGAACCTTGTCCGCGGGTGAGACAGTCAAAGCAAGAAAACCAGATGATTAGGTGTGACGAAGAACACAAAGAGCCGCTGAGACGAATGAAGATCAAGGGGGGAAAACGGTAAATGTCGTTGCTGAATGGGGTCGATGCCGACAAACCGAGCCGCGAGGTGTAGGAAGTGATGCACTTGTCCAGAGGCGATGTCATAAAAATTAGGAACGACAGGGCCCTGTAACGATTCATTGCTGAAAGTTGGTGGGGGGCGGCTGGTGGTGGGCGACCCACGCCTCAATTGGCAACGTGATAAGGAGAGCATTTTGACAATTCGATCCTGGAGGAAGAAATGTCAGTCACTTGGGGAGTCAGGGAGCGGGAGTCAGACATATACAGAGAACAGCATGGATGCGCAATGCGCATTAATCGAATCAGGAGAGGTTGATGCGTTCCGAGTACTCTTGAAGTTCGTGAAAACATCATAGAACTTCTTGTCGTCGTAGCCACGGAAAGTCGAGCAAGCTTGACAGATCCTTGAGTCACTGGAGGTTCTCCATTGGTGGAGAAACTAATGCGGCTTTCTCGTCCTTGGCTGCGAGTGTCGTCCCCTCGTTGTCGATCTTCCTCTATCTCATCGGCACCATGATGGAACACTTCCTCCTCCTCCTCCTCCTCCTCCCTCACCGACACCGCTGCAGGATGTACATCTGAGTCACCGCCTTTTGCAGAGAAGCGGGTGCAAGATAAGTAGCCCATAGTCCAGCTAGTCCTGCCAATTGAGGTGTTGAGAGTAGAAATGAGCGGCTGGGGAATCGATATCGGTTGTTGAATCAATGCAAGTCTAAAACGTGCAACGCGCCGCGACCGGAGATGCTGCGATGCATGACAAAGTTGGCAACAAGAACCCCGTGTTGACCGCGACTTTCTACACCACTCATCATGGTCGAAGAAAGTGCGCTAGCAATACAACATCAGCCTGGTAAATGTTGGGTAATAGTAGTAGTACAGAGAGTTAATACATTGCCCTCAACCACCCCAAAGCATTCATTAGGTTTCATTTTGTTCGAAACGTAAAGCAAAGAGAAAGAGCTGACAACGACGCAGCCAACATTACAGATCCTCATGCTCATCATCAACAACAACCCCATCACCTCCACCTCCAACGATGCCCGCAACCCACGGCAACGCCTCCTCAACCCCCTCCAAACACAACAACGGCTCCTCCCGCACAGTCATCTGATGCGAAAGCGCCTCAAGAGGCCACGCCGCTTCCCCACTGTCCCCATCCCCCTCTTCCTCTTTCCCATCCGACTCGGGCCTCCTAAGCACGAAACTCTGGTCAAGAGACACAACATGATCCAACTCCGCACCCCCCTCAGAGTCAGAACCACCACCACCAGGATTCACCACCTCCCCATGGACAGTCATCAACACGAGCCCCTCATGCAGCATCAGCGTATATGCAACGTTCCGCATCGTCCCATGCGGGCAAAACTGGTGCGGTCCCAATGCGTTTAGGTACTCGATAATCTGCGCCCGCCCGATCTGCTTACGCGTGGTTATGGAAGCGAGTAAACGCGAGTCTGAGAAAAAGGGGGTGTATGTCTTTGGAGGTGAAGGGGTATGGATGCGTGCGGAGAAAATGGCGTTTTTGGTGTACGCCTTTTCTAGCTTTGATCGATCAGAGTCGAATGTCCGGATGTACCTAACGTTTTTTCAGAGCGTTGACGAGGAGAATGAAAGAATGAAAGCGCTACGAACCGATCGATGAATGCTAGAGCGACGGTGTCTAGCTCTGCCCAGACCGTCGAAACTTCCTTCCATCCGAGGTCTTTGTCGGGGATTGGAGTCGGTTGGTGCGAAGTGTGTTTCTCCGGATGCAACAGGGTCTGAGTGACGAGGTCTTCGCTGGCGAAACGAGGTACATCAGAACCAGGTACGAAACCAGGGCTCTCTTCCTTTTTGACCACAGGATGGCCACGTATCTCCTCGAGACTCATGCTGCGGAATGGAATCAAGCCTTCTACGACCTCAGTCGCATGATCCTCCTCCTTGCGCACTCTCCTTGAATAGTCATCAGAAGCAAGGTCTATGTTCTTCCTCTCCGGTGTAACACCAACGCCCTGCTCAACGACTTGAGAACCCTTCGTGGCTGGCTTACGCCGAGGAATAGGAACAGGGTTAAATTTGCGCTGAGATGGTTTAGGTTTGGGATGATCCTTTGACGAGGCAGGCTTGCGTGATTCCTGAGAAGCACGCGCAGCCTCCGCCTCTGACGCATGTTTCCCTTGCAAAAGCCTTTCGGGGCTAAGCGAGTTCGCTTCATGCACGCTTCGTATCACCATCGCCAAGCTGGGTGCTTCAGGCATAAGTGTGTCAGACCACACAGGGGTGGAACTCGTCCTACAAATCACATCACAACCCTGCGTCAGCTTTTTGCCTCCGAGGGGAAGAAGGAGAAGAAGCGCACCACTCCACAACCATCCCATCGTCCCTGAAAAACACCCTCGTCTTTTTCAACCCGAATCCAGCGAGCCAACTGACCTTCTCGCGGAACAAGTTCTTGCGATTCTGGTAATAAGTCGGATAGGATTTACGGCAATTGTCGGGAATAGGGAAGAGGGTGCATGATTCGGTTATGAGGCGGCGAGATGGCGGTGGAGGTGGGGGTGAGAGCGAGAGCGAACTGGGCTCAGCCTTTACTTGCGGTGATAATTCCTTTTCGAAGGGACGTGATTTTGGAGGAGGTTGCGTAGAGAAAGCGGGTGATGATGAGAACGCGGCAGAGCCTGATCTCGTTGAACGTTTGGGGAGTGGGGGTTTCGGTTTTGGAGGCGGTACCTCCTCTGCTCCCTCCTTGACAAGAATTTCGTGCTCGGTATCCAACTTCCGCCTTTTAAGCGGCGGAAGATCGGGAGTTATTAGACGTGGCGATAATGACTGCTGTAGTTCGCGATTGAACGAAATCTCGTTCAACGGCGGTGGAGACGAATGCCTCGCAAATTGGGGTTTGTATGGTTGCGTCAGGTTTTGGGTAGATGACGCTGTTTTCCGCGGCAGTGGTGGGTGATATCTCGGCTGCGATACGGTAGGAAGTTGTACGTCGTCTTGAGGACTGAAGTGCCGCGTCATCGTCGGCTCCGGTGATGAATTCGATGGTGACAACGAACGTGGCGGGCTAGCCGTCGTTGTGAAGGTCGTAAAATGTGGTCGTCCAATTTCCCCTTGCCCTTGAGGTACTCTGGGCACTTGAGTACCGTCCTGCGTACCAAATTGATGCATAAAATAGTCCATCGGAGTCGAATTCCACGTTGGCGGCGTGCTTGCCGCCGTTGTATAAGTCCTGAAGTTTGTTCGTCCGCTTCCACCCTGCCCACTGTCCGATGTGTAAATTCCAGACGACCTTTGCCCTCCACGTACGCTTGAACTCCCTCGGCCTCCCCGCCATCCCTTGTCGCCCCTGATCGCTGTCTGAGGCCATCCACCCCTCCCCCGATAACTGCCCCTCCACCCAACGTTACTCTTGCGAGGTGGCGCCACCGTCGCAATCCTTGGAGGCGCTACCTGCTTCCGCTTGTTGATACTTTCGTTAGGTTGAGAATCCTCTGCATGTCCTGCAGCCGTCGTCCCAGACGCGGCTTTTCCGTTAAACCGTCCTCTGTACATTCCGATTAGGTTAGAATTGTGGTTCCAAGAATAAGATGACAATTGATTTCAAGCCTTCAGAGCATAGAAAGTGTTGGATTCGTGGTCGTCGTGGAGGACTTGTGAGGCGATGTCCGTGGTGGACGCCTAACATGCCAGATGTGTATGTGGCGCTTATCGGGGGCTTTTGAACAATAGGTACAAATAAATGATTCTGGCGCCAAATGCCTTGTGACGGACGAGTTCTAAGTAATTTGTAAGGAATCTGACCCGAATCGATAGGAAAAAAATGAAAAGAGGCGGTCCTTATTTCGTTGTATTCTTCTGTAAAGTGAGGGAGTGGAAACATATCACTGTATGAAGTTGTCGAGATTTATGCCAACCAGTTCCATTGAAAAGGACTGATCAGCAAATTGAAATAACTTCCAAGCATTGCCTATCGTCTACAACAAAAAAGACAAGTAGCAATTTACCAAATGCAAGCGGTAAGGAAACTATCGACGGTAACATTGAGTCAAGGACTAGCAATAGCCTCAAATAAACCCTGCCTGGCACGCTCTGTCTATTTCCTTTCCCTGATCAAGAAACAGCCCATAAACCAAAGCGCCAAAACATTGCCCTCGTCCTCCTTGTCTTGTCCAGTGGGCTGGGCCGTGGTGGCAATTTGGTTGTGAATCCAACCCTGAACAGGCATAATTACAAATTCATGCGAACTCGTCGGCGCAGTCATATTCGCAATATTGCCAAGCGTCACGGGGCCTCGCGATTGACGACAGCACGCCACGCTGCTTGACGAGATTGAAGACCCTTTAGCAGCTTGTAGAATATCTTTTTCACTTCGGGTGCGAAGCTTTGGAAGACCTCGCTTGACGGTTCCTGAGCGAGACAGTTTTCCAACACCGTGCGCAACTCCTGAGGAATCGAATGGATATCGCTGCAGTGCCAAACACCATTAGTGTTAGTTCTATTGCTAGGAGAAAATAACGTGTCGTACCTTAGATCGATTTGGTGATAAGCAAACGCGCCAATGATCGCATTGAATTCCGTGCCTACTTGGACGTAGACGTCGCTCACTTGACTTTCCGTTGCTTGATTCAAGCTCCATTGTCGCAGCATCTCCTGCAATTGTTTTGTAGAAGAAAGGAGGTTATGAACGAGAGTCGGAACGTCTCCCGGAGCGAGCTGCGGTTCGACAAAATAAGCACGGAAACAGACTTGAATAGTGGGCGCTTACCGATTTCTGATTTCCATTGTATCCGCTACTGTTGGTATTGGTACTAGAGGTAGACGTTCTCGAGGACGATGTGGACGTTGAATACGATGCGTACATGACGCGGTGATGGAATGCAGCGGAGGAAGAGAATATACCGCGTCGTGGGAGACGAAAATTCGCGAATAACCGAGTCAAGATAACGGTTGGTGGATGAGGGTGTAATCTCGGAAAATCCTAGATCGACAGCTTTATATAGAGAGTCAAGACAACCATTCCCGAGAACCGAGGTCGTCAAGAAAACAATGGCAGGGGTGAGCGCTTCGTGCATCGCCCTGACGCGGTTTGATTCACATGGGTTTACTGGTTCCGGGAGCACGTCTTCCAAGTAGAAATTTCAGTGTGAAGTGGATGCAGGAAAGCGCGCGATCGGAGGAAAATGGCCGTGCCTTTGCACAGCCTTCACGTTCCGTCAATGCGGTTGAGACGGGCCGGTCATTTTCCAAACGCATGTGCAAAACTCTTTCAACCACCACAATCAACTGCCGCCCTCAACTGTTGAAGAAGATTCTTTCCTCTACATCATCAATATAAATCACGACAGCTTCTGTGATGGTCTTCTGCTAATAAAGTGGTAGAGGCCAGCGGAATGCTCCAGCAGAACACGCCTTGCCCCGATAAATTTCTTATCCGTAGGTACGCCTTTTATTGGTTTGCTAAGACGAATTCAGTGATGAGATGGTGGAAGTTGACCTCCAAAACATCTCAAACTTGAAGTTGGGGAGGCAGAGGGTACGTCCCTCTCATATCTGAAACGCCGTGGCCGCTCAAAAGCCTGGCCTGATCATCAGCGACGTCGAATCGATTGATAGACTTGAAAAGTACAGCGTTATAGGTTATTGCCAGGCGGCGCCATCCTGTCCTCCATGCGACGCCATGAACTTGGAAGAGTTGATGATGCACAGGCTCTACCTTCGGCATCAATCCATTGCTACCGTCAACCTTCGCTCGCTCGAGATATCTAACAATTACGGGGCACAGTCTGATTGGGGACTTCACAATTCTGCCGATCAGCCTCCGCATGTAAATTAACTCTCGTTCCGTGGGGTATAACAACGGGTCCAGACCTCTTGACTAACGTGAACTACGACTAGTTCCTTGGTGCGCAACGTACGTTTTGAATTGTATCTTTTCAAGGAGTTGTTCTATAGGACGCATCCTTCAAAACGGTGTAGATCCTTCATAAAGTGCGGGGCAACAAGGAACTACATTGAATGTAGGGGGGGTTCATGTGTGCCTTGTAAAACAGTAAGAAAATCGATGAATTTATGACTGTCAAGTTATGGGAGATGATCGCTCAGTGAATTTCGTAGCGTTGACCCAAGTTCGCCGACCGAGGTTGCCAATTACTTTCCCATTAGTAGTACTAGTAGTGTCATACTCAATCGTGAATGGTTCTCCTGGAAACTTTTTAAAAGCGTCGATAGGTTCCTTGTCTCCAGTAATGGTGCTGGAAAGGGCAGAAGGGCTTCCCCAGCGTGTAGCTGACTGGGTAAGTGGTGGTATTGCGGTGAGTAGCTACTACATGTGATGCGTGTATGTACGTGCACGTGACCGCGCTCTGGAGCAGGGAATCCCTATTCCAGTGCTTATCAGAGACTTCTGAGAGGTATGAACGAGTATAGGTGACATCCTCGATACTGGTATCCGTCGGGTTTAAATATCACTGAGGCGCCGAAATCAAAGAGTAGTGACAGATGGTTCTCGCAGTTTACCCAGGCCATGCCTCATCATGCCCGCTGAACGCGAAAGTTTGACGCGAGTCGACGACAAATAATTATACGAGTCGATTTTTGATATATCGGATGGATCGAATTAATTGCAGATACCTTCGACTTGGACGTTTGAAAACAAAAATCGTAACAACGAAAAACATATGACGCTAATCACCCTGATGCACTTGCCACACCAATAGCAGGGGCAGCATCACCGTCGGCCTCTAAGTTTCAATATTGAGTTGCGCATACCGGCCAAATTTCGTCGTATACATACCGATGAAATCGATCACATCTCCAGTGAGAGACTGGAAGGACTGGAGAGACTGTGGGGTTAATTTGGCCGAGAATCCCTTCAAAAAAAATACATGAGCATCAGCATCTAAGACGGGAACAGGATTGCACTGAATTACGTTGAGGACTTCTGGGTCAAAGCGATGTGTAACCTCGCCACCTGCAAGTGAATAAATGATCGACCTCGACCTCGAAGGTTTACAGTACGCACCACTCTCGTTGACCTGATCAATGTACTCAGTAATCTGATCTTGGGTGACTCCTTTCTTGAAAACAACGATGAAGTTTCCAGCTAGGCATGGTTAGATCGTGATGATTGGGCTTGTGTAGAGTAAAACTGACTCGACATGTTTCTGACTTTCGCTTGCTCTTGTTTGGGAGCTGGTTGCGGTGGGTAGGGAGCAGCTTGACCAGGTAGATAAGCCTTGGGGCGCACTCTAGGGCCGTGCGATGGCCTCCTGTCCTCATCATCCTTCTTCAAGACGTGACTGGCTGAGCATAATTGACCAGATCCGTGGATAGCGGGACTTCAGCTAATGGTCAACGTAAGATTAACGTGTGATTGAACTTGGAGCAAAAGAACTAACTCCACTTGTCAATCCCATCCACAGCAAGAAAAAGTTCCCCTTTATCAGCATGCTGTATCGGAAGTCCGCTGACCTTCGACTGGCGAGGTTCGTCCGCACTTTGACTTTCTATTTCAGGAGCGCATCGATCGATATACGGGCGGGGTGGCCAAATCATTGGGGACGACCTCCAGGAAGCAAGAGGCGAGTGAGGCCCTATGCACACAACAAGTTGGTCAGACATAACATGAGTAGTAAAAAGGATAGAGAACCTTTGGACCGGTAGTTGTGAGGTTGTTTCCGATGCTGTATTCCCGCGTCTCTACCCTCTCCCTCATCCTTCGTTATTTTGCTCCCCTCTCGAGGAACCACCGCTCAAAAACGACAGTCAATAGCCGCCCCAGCCTCGCCTAAAGTTTTCTTGTGGGTTGGCGAGGTGTGCCGAGAGCAGACCGGAGGCGTCGCATTGCTTGACTGCAGATGCGGATGGCATGAGTTGGGTTGACCAGTGACCGTCTGCATACGAAGGAACCTGCGATATACATACATTGAAGTTATCATATACGGGCCCTATAGTTGGGAGACGGAAGAAGTATAGAAGCCCTAAGATAGGGTTAGGACTCTCTTGAATTTCTTTCATCCTGTCCAACTTCGAACGTTGACTCCGTCCCCTCAGTATCCACTTCACGTTGCCGCGCGAGCCTATCGAAATTTGTGTGCAATGGTAGGAGGAGAGACTCATGTGGAGCTATGGAGATGATTTACAGTGCCATCACGATCCAGCGTCACGAGCAGAATCCTTCAAGTTCATACCTCAAGAGCTCGTCAGGATTCCGGAAGTCTACGGGCCAATTGTAGTGCTGATTTTTCGGAGTACTTACCAACTTTCGTCGGTGAGTAACTGTGAAAATTTTTATTTTCGGTGCCAACTCCTTGACAGGCTGTATCCTCTCTTGAACGAGTCCCTCGGTACCCTGCACCCAAATTTGTGGAATCTCATTGTCATCATCGAAGCCACCGACAACAGATAATTGTACTTCAAGCCTCGATCTCCGAGTCCGTGTGCTGTGTCTTTCTTGTTGTGCCAGATCAATCCATCGTTTCTTGCGAGATGCTGGAAGTGCCGGTCGCATAGTGCGTTTTCATGTAACTTTCACTTTCAAGGGCAAACGTCTCAATGCTCTCACTTCACTTGTCTGTCAGTGTCACCTTCAAGACATCTATCTTTATCCTTGCGCTCTGTCGCAGCTTGGATAATTGACAGGACTCGGAATCTTCACGGTCCTTGACCAAGATACTATTTCAGAACCGGAACGTCTCGGCTTCAAATTGGAGGACAGGGCGAAGAGGTTGCGAGTATTGACAGAATATGCCAGCGGCTGAGCCTAAAAGCCGTCTTCGTTCGTCTTAAAATTTTTGAGAATTCCGGTTCATGTTTCTCTAATCTTTGATATAGCAGGTCCACGAAAACAAGTCAGCAAGCTTTCCGATATTCGCTCAGGGTGGACATGTGCCAGTGGCAGATGACTCGCTTTGAAATCTGTGATCCGAACAAACCCTCAATGTATTATAATTATCTTCCACGTACAACGTTGAAGACAATTGCTGTAAGATTTCGAAACAATGTCAACATAATTCCTTCGAACTACTTCTTCTTGCCCTTGGAAACCACAGTAGCCGTTAGCGCGGCAGCCTTCTTCAAATTCTGCGGGGTCGCAATACTCTTCACAGCCCCCTTGCCAGCCGAAACGGTGCTCTTCTTTGGAGCAGATTTAGCGACTGCCCCGACGACCTTCTTAGCACCAGTGGCACCTCTAGTGGGAGAGGAAACCTTTGATGTCGGCTTACCCGCGGACGTGACTTTCTTGGCGCCAGCCGCTCCTTTGACGAGGGACTTGGAGGCGGGCTTTCCAGCAACCTTGGATGTCGTTTTGCGAGCGCCGCCCGCGTTCTTGACAGAAGGCTTTTTAGCTCCTGCGGCAGCTCCCTTCTGAGTTCCCCCAGTCTTTGACGCAGTCTTCTTGACACCCGCACGGTTTGCTGGGCCCTTGGTAGAGGACTTCGCGCCAACAGATTTCTTGGAGCCCGCTCCCGATTTGGGAGTGCGGGCACCAGCGACTTTCTTGGACCCTGCACGGTTTGCTCCCTTGGTAAGAGCCTTCGCGCCACCTGCCTTCTTCGAAGCCACTTCCTTGGTGGTACGGGCACCAGTGACCTTTTTGGACGCTGCACGGTTTGCTCCCTTGGTGAGAGCCTTCGCGCCACCTGCCTTCTTCGAAGCCGCTCCCTTGGTGGTACGGGCACCAGTGACCTTTTTGGACCCTGCACGATTTGCTCCCTTGGTAAGAGCCTTCGCGCCAGCCGCCTTCTTTGTACTCGCTCCCTTGGTGGTACGAGAGCCAGCCAACTTTTTCGACCCTGCACGATTCGCTCCCTTGGTCAAAGCTTTCGCGCCAGCTGCCTTTTTAGTACTCGCTCCCTTGGTGGTACGGGAACCAGCCAACTTCTTCGCCCCTGCACGATTCGCTCCCTTGGTCAGAGCTTTCACGCCAGCCGCTTTCTTAGTACCCGCTCCCTTGGTGGTACGAGAGCCAGCCACCTTTTTGGCACCCGCGCGGTTAGCTCCCTTAGTGAGAGACTTGGAACCCGGTGTGCGCGCACCAGCGACCTTCTTGGCACCAGCGCGAGCTGCTCCCTTCGTCAGGGACTTGGCTGTGGCGGTTTTCTTACCAGTGCCAAGTTTTTTCGCGCCAGCGGCTCCGAATTTGGCAGAGGCAACGCGCTTGCCGGTAGGTAACTTGGACGTTGGTTTACGAGCACCGGCGACACCTTTCCCTGCAAGTTTGCCTTTGGTACCAAGGGCTGATTTGGTGAGTTTGGAAGCCTTGGTGGCTTTGGAGGTAGCGGAGAGTTTAGATGATGGCTTTTTCGCCGTGAGAGCGGATTTCTTTGCACCAGGTGTCAGAGCAGATTTCTTTCCAGCAGTTAAACGTCCCTTTGTTGCCGTGGCGAGTTTGGAGCTTTTCGCGCCAGCCGTGAGTGCGGATTTCTTGGAACCAGGTGTCAAAGCTGATTTCTTGGATCCAGGCGTCAAAGCCGATTTCTTGGACCCAGGTGTCAGAGCGGACTTCTTGGCACCCGCAGTTAAACGGCCCAAGGCTTTAGAGGTCGTGGCGAGTTTGGATGCAGCTTTCTTGTCACCAGCGGGAGGAGTTTTTGCCTCCGCAGCCTTTTTGGCAGCCGCTTTATTTTTGAAGTAGTCCTTGGGAAGCGCGCACGACTGGCGCCTCACGAGGTAATGGGCGGCCTGTAAACCGTATCAATCAGACTAGGAAATGAGAAAGTCGCATTTAATCACGTACCATGTCGTGATCACCATCCGCCAACGCTCGTCTGTACATGTGGAACTCGCGGCGGCGGAGACCAGCATTCGCGCATAAGCTTGCAAATTGCCTTATGAAATGAAATCCGTGAATGGGTGATTCGTATGTAAAAAAAGCCAGAGAACGTACGCGTAGGACTCCGCGTTAAGGTGCATATTCCCCTTCTTATCTCGTATCTTGACGAAATCTTTGTCGGCATTGATTTCGTCAACGGTCTTATACGGCTCCATCGACTTTGTGTCTAAATTTGATGGTCAGCACGATTCAAAGAATATTATTCAATAAGCGGCTTACATCCCGTTTTGGCCGAGGTACGTGGGTCACTACCTGGGATAATATCGCCAGGATTACCCCTCATATAATCGCCAGTGTCGGCGAGTACATGTGTGGCTTCGTGGATTAGGGTACCGGCTTGAGCGGCGGGCGTAGCTACGAAACATAATCGTGTCACAATGTTAAAGAGGCAAGGTGGGCAGGCATTTATCACGCACAATCATGGTACTGTTTGCCGAACACGATATGTTCAGGGGTCATGGGAGTCGTGCTAGTATCGTACGACGTGTAGGCGAGATACTTTGGGTCGGCGGCAAGCTTGACAGGAACGCTGCCGGTCTTGAGCTTCTCGACATTTGCTTTAATTGCGTCCCGGTCGGCCTTCGCTCCGAACGCGGCATCGATGAGAGGTTTATGCTTCGCGTTATCAGGGTCTGCCATGACTTTCTCCATGATATCGATTTGCCGATTAGCTTGAGGATTAAAGTTATAAAACAGTTTGCGATTGAAGCAAATGAAGACGAACCTTCAACTGTGGCCGCGTCGAGATTAGCTTGGTGCGTTGTTTCATCGGCGTCAGCAGGAAGATCGTGAGTTATACCGAGGGGCACTGAAAAGACGCCTTTTGGAAAAATCGAGCTGAGTAGGTGACAGTATGACAGGTTAGAGTGGAACCCACCACTAATAGATGCCAGGAGAAAGAGTCCCAGCGGAATATGTTGAGAACGCATACTGAAGAAATGAATGGCAGAGGAAATTCGTTGAGGGTTGGTGACCTGCACCTGGAAGAAAATGTGTCAGGGCACCTGCACTCGAACTACAGGAGGAAACTCACCAAGCGAAGACAGTGGATCAAATCGACCTGCGATGGGATGAGGGTTGACTTCTGAAATCTGACCCTTATATATACCTTTCTTATCTAGTTAACGACGTTCAAGCGTCAATTCAATGGGAAATTTTGGTCGCATGGTGACGGCTGGTGACGGACTGTTGACAGACTTTGAAACGCTGGACCGCACGGAAGATTTTGGTGCCGGTGTGAGATAAGGGCGAAGGGACGTCTGAAATCCGACACAGCTTGAAGGGGCTATTAAAAATTTCGTTGAATGTTGACACCATAAAGCTCCATAAAGTTGCGGCTGATACCGCTTGCTCAAAATCTCTTGAAAAAATCAGAGCCAGGTTCGATCCCGAATCCCAAGTTCCAAACGCGTATCCGATGCGTCGTCACCAAAAACGAGCGTCTCATGCACGTTGCATGCTGGATTGATTTACGTTTGTGCGGAGTTGGGCGGTGCGAGAATGAAGCTAATTTTGGTTGTTTGAATGAAAAACGGATCCCGAAGGTCGCGTGGTTTCTCGTGGTTTCGGACAGCTTGCCAGGGGGCTACAAAAGTTGTATGATCGACAGAAGATCTATCCAGCCTTACTTATCGAACGCTGAAACATTCGGTTATAGGGTCCAGCAGGCTGCCGGCGTTCACGATTTTCATGTTTGAAGCAAGAATGCTGAGCGGAGCTATAAAGTTGAGATGAAAATTTGAGTTGGGTGAAAGAAAATCGAGTGCTTGCATACAAAGACAGTTGTTTACTTTTTCAGAAGGCCGCCATGAGCCAAGAGATATAGTATGAGCGACTTTTCGGCCAAGATTCATGTTCAGGTTTGGTTCAGGTGGTGCCTGTCAGTGTCAGTGTCAGTGTCAGTGTCAATGTCGAACAGATGATGACACGTGCCAAGAGCCGCGTTGGCAGCTCAAACCCTTCCCCGACGTCGACGACATCCCCATTCTCGAAAGATCTTCATGCTTCAAGTTGCTTTGCGCTTAGCACGATTTGACTACCACATAGATTTTCTTTGATTAACATCACGGTCTGACAATCTACACGGATTGACAACGTCGACGGTCGGCTGTGTTGTTGGAGACCTACCAAACTGGGCGTCTTCTTCCTGACTCCTCCTGACTCCACGGGAAGCACTTGCGCTGTAAGTTTTTGAACAAACTGCTTGATGACACGCCTAAGATCTATATCAAAACCGGTTAAAGACAAGCCTTGAAAACGACTCCCCACCAAGAACAATGGCCTCCGCCGGAATTAGTCTCTTCAAATCCTCCGACGGATACATTGTATCTGTCTCCTTGCTCTCATCCTCTGACGGATCAACGATTGGTACGGGGACTGAATCAGTCTCCTCGTCGTCATCCCTTCTCGACACCGTGAAATCCCTGCTCCGCCAATGGCATAAATCCAAAGTGAAGGCGTACCTAGTCTCTGTACCCTCCGCTTTCCCGGAGGATGAGTATTACGACGTCCTCAACGCAATTACTGAAGGAACATCTCACTACTACTACGATGTCGACGCGCCAGAACCCGAGACCACCTTAGCGCAAGACGACCCCTCGCTTTATATTACACATGGCGAGGCATACTGCGCCACCCTCCCCCACAACACACCAACGCCCACCATTTTATTCCTCGATTTCTACCCCGACCGCCTCTCCTCCGAATGTCTGTCAAGTTCTTTCGACAACGGCGAACGCCAGACGAAAACCATCTACACACTTACCTCCCCTTTTGCTCAAGGCATCCCAGATGAAGCTGCGCTTAAATCGGTGATGATCGTTGATCCCAAATACCCATTCGAACGGGTTGTGCTAAACAATCCACCACCTCGACACCTTCCTACCATACGCACCTTCCTCGAAACACATTATCCCGGTACACCGATTACTAGTAACACGCCCGAAGTTATCTCTGCTTCCACCGCTACCCGCCTTTACACAAGGTTAAATCTACCGCCACAACCGAGGAGGCTAGGACAATACATCGTCCCACTTCCTGTCAGCGTCACTTCATCTTCTGGGAGCGCAATTACCCTCGTACCCCCTCGATATCGGATTCCAACTAACGAAAGTATCGTTCTCACAACATCAAAGGATAATCAACGTTCGGTGACCGTGCACCTTCTCCTTGGTAACCATCCCCTCGCCAAGGATAATACGGTGCGAGGATCAGCCTTTTTAGACGGATTGAAGGCATTGCTGAAGGGTGAAGCGCGGATTAGGGTATCTTTTGGGGTTTGTATTGTTGAGGGTTGGCGGGATGCGGCAGCGGTTACGATTGAGCAGGTGGATTGTGAGGATGGGGTGAAGAAGACGTTTTTATTCCCAAAGTTCTTCGCTGACCTGACGGATGAGGATGATCGGTATGAGCTCGTCGAGCGAGGGGTGAAAGTTGAATATAGTCAGTATTCAGACGAGGTTGTTGGGGAACTTCCTGAGTAGTCAATAGGTAACTTAGAAAGAATCATATTTCATTTGAAGTCGTTTCACCGTGTAGTTTTATAGTTTATGAAAGGAACATATCCACTTTTTTTTTAAATCGTTGCCATGCCTATGTATACTAGGTATCACCATCTCGATGCACGAATATTCTGCCAAGCAGAGACAAGTTGGCCTGTCTTCTGGATTCTCCTTGCACATATCTTTCACGAGACGTCGCATGAAATCAAATCCTTTTCTGAAAGACAGAGGTTATGAGTTTCAATGGGCCCGGGCGACGAGAAATCGACATATGCACGTCCAGGAAAACGGACTGGATCAGGTGCCCTCAGATACAGTAGACATCAACGGCAAATGGATCGCAAAGTTTGTCCTTCTTAAATTCTGGAATTGTCCCAGGTGTTCTTCAGGTGGCGCTGACAGGTCATATTTCTTTGCGACGCCAAAATCTATGAAATGGTACTTCACAGGCGCCAAAGTGCGAGTGGTATGCGAGGGGGTGGATCGAAAGTCACGAGCTCGATTAGACAGGAGAGGGTGGGGAAGTACCGAGTATAGACCTGTAGGATCCATCAGGATGTTATCATACAGTTACTTGCAGTCTCTGTATAAATGTGAAATTTCCATCTCACTCGGAAAAATGAAACCCACCGATGTGCTACGCCGTTGGTATGCATATATTGAAGACCCTGAACGGTATGGCATCAAATTAAGGACAACCAGTCGTGACGATACTCACCTCAAATACCTGATGAAAGAAGTTAACGACCTCTCCAATTGTGTTAAATTCTGGCCCCTCCCAACTCCGGAGCAAGGGCATCACTAACAGTTGAGTATCTTCTTTGTCAGGCATGTCAAGAATGGTGGTAGGGATGCAGTGGTAAGTTTTCGGGTTGGAAACGTGGGGCTTGCCAGAAAATATCAGCGAGATTTTTTGCTTCAGCACTTCCCAAAGATGGATGGAATTTTTTCAAAATAACATGTTTGCCGTCATCGATTCGCGTCGCGTCAAGCAGACTCGAGTATTAAAATGCGTGAGCGAAAATATTCTCAAAAAGTTCTTACCCCCTCACGATGACACCATCTTCACAATCACAATAATGCAAACTCTTGTCGCTGACTCAAGAGGCTTTCCAATCAGGCAGATAGCGTGGTCTAAGGAGGTTTTCACACTCTTTCAACCAAGGTTAGTGATCACGCCAAAACAGCTCGGCTTTGACAGCTATTTTCATATCGATAGACCCCTTTTGAAAATATAACACTCAGCGCTTTTGTTTAGTCGTACAAATAAAACTGATCAAATCTGGTGAGACAAATCGGCAGCCTAAAGTTGGCCGATGAACAAAAGGACTTGGAGGACGAGACTCACAAGATACAGAGAAACCAATTCTTGTCAAATTTACTGAATGTAGAACAACAGGCGACCGCGGCAGCAATAGGGTCCTATGTGGACCCACTGCAAGCCTGGTGATTGTGCACAGTCTCGCAAGTAAAACGCCGTCTTGATATGACGATGTTCAGCAGGTGTCCGACCAATGTAGAACAACTGGAGAACAACAGTCGTCGTCAAGTGCTCGAACCTAAGCGGCAAACGAAGGCCATCTGGTTTCAATAAAAAGCAGAGTCTCAGCTCAAAGGAAACATCTTCTACATAGTCACAACATACTCAGTCTTCCGAGGCATGGAAAGTCGCCAACTACCTCTTGCTTCTTCCTCTGCGGCGACACTGGTCCGCCACCCTTTCACTTCATCCTCCACGACGCTGGGACGTAGTTCCACTGACGATGTATCAACCCAGGAGGGGTTGTACGCCGACTTCGATGACCCGGACCAGTCGTCCGAGTTACCTTCCCGCCCAACTGCTGACGCCTGTGACGCTTCAAGTTCTTTCAAACCGGACAAAGTTGACCGCCTATCTTTTCCGCTTCGAGTCGTTGGGAGGAGTCTAGCATTTCGCCGCCTCCAAAAAGCTGGGGAAGAACTTCCCAGATGTCTGAAGCTACTACAGTCTACCCACGCAGACGCTCAAGTCGAGTAAGTCTGTTGAGTCTAGTAATGCGGATTTCAATGACGACCTTCCTGCGTAGCTTGGAAGAGGCTGAGAGATTGCGCAAAAAACGAGAGAAAGTTGTCCAATCTACACTTGAGGTGAGAAATCATGTCTTGTGTTCTACTCCTGGTGAAAACTTACTTGTTTTTCGCATTTCAAAAGTATTTTTCAAAAATGCGGTCGAAAATTGACATGGCCATTGGCGGCGAAAGGTCGTTACCTGACGGGGGAAAAGGGGGAAAAGGAAAGGGACGCTCTCAGGATGATTTCAGTCTATTATCTCGCTTGAAGACAGAGTCCCACAGTTCAACCCACCCGGGCGTATGAGCCAATAAAAGGGCCGGCTGGATAGGCCTCAACGCATAGATCAACGTCACGGTGAAGCGGGGGTTTTAGCTGTGCCATAATTATCGCAGGCGGTACATTTTGAGTCGCACATTCTTCAACATGCACAAATGTCATTGTATATGGAGTGCCTGTTCCGAGTTCGTAAAGCGGAATTCCCTGAGATCGTGAAGGAACTTTCTAACTTAAAAATGTCAGCAAGTGCCAAGGATGTCAGGACCCACCTGAACGCTGACGGCAAAAATGTGAGAATTGGTACTTCGAGCAGAGGCATGAGTCGGGAGTCGTACTTGGCCTTGATAGGTCGCTCACCATAATTGCGGCATATCGTGTTCCAACTTCGAACTTTGACTCCGTCCCCCTCAGGCCCGTTGTTGCATAGACTGCACGTGACTATTGAAGTTTGGCGAGACGAGAGTCATGCGGAGCCATGGAGGTGAATCCTGCTCGGGACGCTAGGCAATGACGCGTCGATACCGACCATTGGTAATCCCACAACCTAGCTGCTATTTGTAATTGGTAGGGAATGGAGTATAGCAAAAGAGGTCGATGACTCCGTCGTGAAAGAAATAGTTGGCGTGATCGCCGCATCTACATACCCGCCACTGCACTCGCCCACAGAAGCTTCCTCTTGGGTAGGCTCACATTGGCTTCGAATGAGCTAATGGCATTGAGGTCAGTTCTGCATGTTGGCCTTCTGAAAGCCATTTTCACTTAGCGGTTTTGGAGTGATTGTTCCCGTCTTTTGGGCAGCGAGGGTATATTAGGACTTCGAGACGGTAAAAAAATAGGGATTATCGTCTTCACTCGGCGGCCATCCTTCGCGGTGACAGATTTGGTTGGTTTTGCAGTTTGGGAGTATATCCCCACCTTGGATCGAATTGATTAAAGTCTCGTTGAATTCGCATGACGACAGCTCAACACCTGGGATTCAATTCGAATGAATACTTGCTGAGCACCTAGAAGTCAAGTATACTTACAGTATAGACACGGTTACCCCTGAGAATCGGAAACTTTGAGCTGCCCAGTTGAAATTTGTCCTGGAGTAAGAAAATTGCTTGTGCTTGTGGAGACCAAAGGTGAACGGCATTGTCCGAACCAGCACGGACCGTTACCGTCACCTCGGCCACAAAACTCTTGCTATAAAGCTCAATGCCCTCGGATAGCAACGTAAGTCGAAATTCTCTCTACAATCCTTCATTTTACGCGCAAAATCCCTTCCTTTGCAATTAGTGGCTTTACACTGGCCCATGCCGCCATGCGCGCAATGCACATTGCCTTATCGGAAACTCCCTTGTCCATGTGTACCTGGTGCCTTAACAATTTGGCTGAGGGCGCTTAAGAGGCTGTCCGCATACCATTGCACAGGACTGCAATCGACAGATAACCTGAGCTTCGTTCCTCATCCTATTGTCGCGATACTAGGAGTCCAGCTATACGACTAACGATGTCGGCCTCGACGCCTCCGGGATCGCAATCTGGTACGCACAATCAAACTCTCAGCGTCGAGTCATACTTGACGACCAATGCGCAGATCTCTCACAATCTGAGCGCGAGCAAGAGAGGCCAGATGCAACTCGGCCCAGTTTGTACCAGAGACCTTCAGAAGGCTCGAGTACTTCCTTGGCACCTACAGAAGGGTTGAGCAGGAGTGCTCGACCCTCAGGAGGACCCTACTCTTCAGCGGGGGGAGGCGCTGGCGCGCTCTCGTCCTCAAGTCTTCCATTTAGCGCGCAACCACCCCCTCTACCCCCTCCTTCTTCAGTCACACGGTCTGCTGTACCTCTCCACCCACCACCTCCACCTCCCTCCTTGCCTAGGACGTTTTCAGGGCCTTCTGGCAACACGGGCAGCTCTTTGCCCCTTGCTGCTCAATCGTACACAACCTCACCCCTCCCTATGCCTCCAGCCTCATTCACACCCGGCCTTTCCTCATCTGCAAGCATGCCAACTTCGCGACCACCTAGCAGCCCATTCAGTGCGCCCTCGATTTACCCATCTCCCTCAGCTCCGACGAACCGAACCCCAAGATCACCTTCAGCGCCAGACTCGGGGTCTTTTTCGCAGCCCCATTCATTTCCCTCGTCAGCTTCTCAGCCGAGCTCTATGTCAATGTATCGACCTCCTAGTTCAGCTTCCCCGTCTGGCCTTTCGTTGGGTCCTTCGGCCCCAGCGACTTCTGCGGTATCTAACTCTCAATCGGGTTCCCAATCCATGTCGTTACCCAGTCGACCAGTAACGACTCCCGGGTCGGGGACACCTTACCCGGTTGGGGGCACTCGTTTTGCGGTTTCGAATTCCGCTGTCGATTATTCTCGATCTCCTGCGCAACAATCGATTCACAACTCAGCATCAGCCTCGTTTGGTGCCTCTCCTGGTAGCCAATCTATGTACCAACAGTCCCCCGCACCACAGTCAATCTATCAACAATCCCCAGCAGCGCCGTCGACTTACCAACAATCCCCAGCACCCCCAGTGACCTTTCGAACCACTTCGTCAACTCAGTATCCTGCAAGACCTACGCCGGTACGAAAAACGACACATAGAGGCGACGTGTTTGTTGCTACTGACCCATTCAAAACATCGGCGAGCAGCAAGCATGATCAGGTTGGGGACGACGTTACCTTCGACGATATCCCAGTCGCTGGCCAGCCACCACAGCCACCACCTAGGCCGGTGGGTAGCGGACGACCTACAAGTGGTACACACAGTGTATATGGGAGCACCCCACACTCCTCAGCACCGATGAGCCAGAGCGCGACTTACTCAGGACCATACTCAGGTACTACTCCAACTTCACGCCCCTCGGCGCAAACGCCGTCCACCAGCGGCTATACGAGACCACAATCGTCGTCTGCACCTGGGTACGCGACGAGCCCCGTATACAGCTCACAACCAACACCTTCCATTTCTTATGGGGGTAGCTCAACTGCCCCTGCTTATTACGGTAGCCCGTCGCAATCGCAATCACAGCCCATGCGAGCATCTTCTCCTCCATCATCTGTCCCGACAATGCCCCCATCGCAAACGCCAATAGCGACTCCAGTGCAGCAAACTCCGATGCAAAGCACGTCACCTATGCCGACCTCTTCAGGAAACACGTCTAGTTCCGTTCCGGCTGATTCTAGTATTCCGGCTAGCACCCCTTACCAACCTCTTGATCCAATCCCGTCGTCCCCAACGAGTCCAGCCTCTGGCACGGACACGGAACAACCTGCCAGCCAGACACCGCGGCCATCTAGTCCTTACATTCCTCCTACTCCTTACAATCCCCCTACTCCCTACAATCCCTCTACTCCTTACAATCCTCCTACACCTTACAATCCTCCTACTCCGTACAATCCTCCTGCTCCCTACAATCGCCCTTCTCCTTACATTCCTCCTCCTACTACCTACAATCCTCCTACTCCCTACAATCCCCCTACTCCTTTCATTCCTCCTATTCCCTACGATCCCCACAATCCTGCTACTTACCCCCCTGTTAACCTGGCTCCTTATCCCGGATATAATCCCCCAGTTTACACCAGCCCGTTTCCCGATGCGTACAACAACCCATATGACCAACCTCAACCAGGTTCCCCCACCTGGCCCAATTCACCCATCTATCCGCCTGGACCACTGTGGACACGTCCGGACTCCATCAAATCTTACAAACCATCCTTCTTCCACCAAGTATTAACCACCCTCGCCTGGATCTTCTGCTTGCCGTGCATGTTCTTACTTCGCCGGCGCAGACAAAAATTGGGAGGGAATTACAGCGCACCAATGGCAGACGACTTGGGGGAAAAGCCCACAGACTCAAAAGTCGTTCTAACTTACATCGTCCACACCTTCCCACGTCAGGCGTATCTGCACATGCTCCTCCGCCTGCCGGAGCTCTACTTTTCTCGCGTGGCGCGGATATTCGAGGAGGCTGATTTGAGTTTGCCGGAGATTAAGAAGATGGCGCTGGAGACGGCGTCGAAGGGTAAAGAGACGCATTCGATACATATGGCGTTTGAGACGTCGTCGGTCCCGCCTGCGTATGAGAGCTTGAAGCTTACTTGGGAGTCGTTTATAGATTGCGTGATGAGGGAGTGGAAGACGTTTAATGTTATTTCGGTTTTGTTGCTATCGTGAGTTTCTTTCCCACCTTTCTATTCTGATAAGACTTGTACTGATTATACATTTTGCGTTGACAGTGCCATTCTTACCATTCTACAAATTCAGTCTGCAGCGGACGATCCCGTTGTTCGATACTCTTCGTTGTTCTCGCTGATTTGCGCCTTGTTCAGTTTGCTGTATGGGTGTATGTACATCATTCGATTCGGAAGCATGCGCAAGACATACAAGGCTGCCGAGTGGGCTTTGGTACGTCTCTTGGTCGTTTGGGTTCGCATTCAGTGGCTAAATCTAAATTCAGGAAGCAAAAAAGTCCAGGACTGCAGTGTTGTGGAACGTGTGGATTCTTCTGGCGATGCCGGCTATCTGGCTGACGTGGTAAGTAACATGTACCATGCTCGTTTAACACCTCAAATGCCCTGCACTACTAGGTCACTGATCCTCTACATTTTCTGCATCATGGCCTTTATATGGCGGAGTGGGACTGATGATAGTACACCACCCACGCCGCTCTCAAAACATGCAACCTTGGGTATCCGGATTACTATTACCATTGTTGTGGCCATTGGCGTTATCTATGGGTTCCTCGTTCTGAACACCTTTAAATGCTACGGTACGCGCATGGACAAGGCTTGGAAAGAACGTATCGATGGATGGTTGGAAGAGAAAGCCCAACAGCAGCAGGACGGCCAGGGACCAAACCCATATTCAATGGTACCTACCTCACCAGTGATGTATCTTCCACCCGACCGCCAGCCGACTTATAACTCTGATTACCAAACCCCATACGACCCCCCACAATCCTATAGCTATGGTTCCTCATTCCCAGGTTACGTCGATCCCAGCGCTCCGGAGCCATACCGACCTCCCTCAACTTACGGAAGGATATCTCCATTCATGGGCCGCGTTCCATCCTACCGATCGACTGCGTACCCTCGTCAAGGATACCCGTATGATCCTGACTCAAAGCACCGTAGCAGACCGAGTGCGCCGTCTACGGACGCTTACACCCACGCTTACCCACCATATGTCCCACCCAGCTATACCTATGGTCCATTCCCAGACAAAGAGAAGAGGGATACATCACCTCCCCCTGACTCTCCACCTAACTCGCCCGACGCCGTCTCTTCTTCTATTCATGTCACTGCCCCTCAATCTCAATCTCAACAATCCCATTCCAGACCAACCACACCTGAACTCCCACCCCCCTCCATACGCTATGTACAATCTGGTGCACGGCCCTTCCCTAGCCCCGGACTCAAACTCCCTCTTGCCTCCCCAACCCCGAGTGTTTTATCCGACATGCAACCCACACCCAACACGATAGCCAACACGATAGCCAACACCAATATAGCTCCCCCAACGCCGTCCACTATCTCCTTGCGGATCGACCCCGGCCATCGATCCACGTCCAGGTCATCTGCGTATGATTCCGCTCCAAACACGCCTGAGCGTGAGCGCGATGAAGACGGGGAGAGGGGAAGATTGTTACACAGCCCTCATGTTCATTTCGTTGACCCGTCGACTCCTAGTGCTACATCGCAAGGGGGAGGGTCGGCGAGCAGTATTCGAACCAGCTTTGGTCATGACCTTTCGCCTTCTGACGAGGCTTTGCTTTCGAGGAGGTCTTCTGGCGTTGTTTCGTCTGGCGTTGGTGACAGCCCCTCGACTAGTGCCTTGAACCCGCCAATCGTGGCACGCTCGGGATCCAAGGATACGTTGAACACGGCGTTGGATGCGCTATTCCAGAAGAACAAGAAACCATAATCGCCTTGGTCTCCATTTCGTCTTTCTACATCTATGTATTACTCATTTCTGGTTCTCTGGATTACATGCTTGCTTACTGCCGATTTTTCGTTTCACACTGAAGTCCTAGCTACATGCTTGTAACAACGTTACGGATAAAACCTTTGGTTGATAGGCCAGACATCGCTTACCGCAGTAGTCTTGAGGTACTCGCGACGAGTGAGAAGGTATCTAAGTACGACCACCGTGCTAAAGGCAAATCATATCAACTGTGATTCACAAGCCTCGTATATAGGGATGAGGCTGTCATAAACCTGGGTATTCTTCAAGATAGGTTCCGCCACACACTCCATCCCGCTGGATGCCTCACTGTCAATCGTATCCACAGAGTCATTTTCCAGCTTTCGCCATGCATACCTCGCAAGAAGCGCACCGCCCATTGCAGCAGCCTCTTTTGTAGTCGAGACGAACACTTTCATGTTGAGTACGTCCTGTTTCAGAAAATGTTCAAATTAGAATAAGCTTTTAAGAGTTTATAGGGTATTACCGCCGCCAGCTGCCTGATCGTCTGATTGGCAGATGAGCCTCCAGTGATAACCAGACGCTGCAGAGGGGGTGAATTTTCAGGCAATATGGCCGCGATCCGTGAACGGATTGATAAAAACTGGGATTCTAGAATAGCCCGAGGATGAAGGGAGGGCGGTATATCGTCGACGGGATGTGGCAACTTCTTATCTGCCTTGGTTGAATTTGTTGTAAAATAGAACTCTCCTTTCACGTTTGGGGGAATTATTTCTGGGAGGGGAAAGTAAAAGCCCAGAAAGTCCGCGCACCCTGGAGGTGCGTCTTCAACAAGTTTATTAAATTCGGTCCAACTACCGTTGGCAAACCTGTCCCTGATCTGTTCACGGGCAAGAGCACCGTTCTTGTAGCATAACATCGCAATATGACCTCCAGGTTCTGTTGGATGGGCCAGAAGATGAGAAGTAGTAAACCTTTTTGGACTCATGGAGGAAGGGGAAATGGAAAGCAAGAAAGTTGTCGATGTTCCAAGCGAGAGGACGGCATCACCGGGAGCCGACAGAGATATAACAGTTGCGGGGTTATCTCCAGTAAAGGAGGCGATAATACAGTCTGATTAGCCATGGTGTCAGCACACCGAAGCTTCTGAGTTAAGAGGACGGTAGACACCTTGATTGAATCCCCATCTTTGAACCCACCAAGGAGAGATTTTGCCCAGAAAAGTTCCGCCTGCGACAGGCTCTGGTCCTAACTTGGATCTTAGCTCAGACCCACCACATATTTCTAGAAGTTTGTCTTCCCATTTACACGAAATCACATTCATAAGATTCATGCCACTGGCATCCGAGACCTCGATGGGGGCAATGTGTCCAAGAAATAATGAGGGCACAAAGGAGGAAACAAGGGATATCCTGGAAGTTGCACGGTATATAGCTGGGTATAAGCGGGATATCTTTTCAGGCATAATTCGTTAGCAAGAGAACAGCTGTCAGGAAACAGCGATCGTTATCACCCGAGATATTTGGTTGCCAGTGAATCGTTCATAAGCTCTACTGCCAGTCAAGTCTGCAAGAGCCCGTGGGCCACCGACGAGGTCTTCGAGATGTTTGCATGCAGCGGTCGTGGATGAGTCCTGCCAAGTGGGCGAGTTGTGTAAGGAAAACGCCGAGGGAAAGAGTTGTGAAGCGAGCGATTGGAAAGGATTCAAGCCGACAAGAAGTTGTTCTGCGCAGTCAGTCCAAAAGACTGAGCCATGTTGCTGATCGGAAATATGAAAGTGAGTGTTCGACTTGTTTCTAGCCCATCGCGAAAGACCTCACCTGACAAGCCCCAGACACTGCAACTACGGCACTAAGGTCGACATCTGCGTTCTCCATTCTTTCAAACAAAAGGTCGATAGCACCCAACCACATCTCAACTGGAGATGTGACCTGTCCGTCTTCCGGTCCTTTGAGAACTCCACCGGTGGTCCCATAGAGAGGTAAATCAGTATCAAAATGTACAGACGCTTGATGGACGACGGTAGAATGTCGATCGGTTATAACAGCTTTCAGCTGTTGCGTTGAGAGATCAAGACCCAGAAAGAGTGGGCTGGGGGACATGATGAGGTTACTCAAGAATACAAAGTCTGCTTGATGCAGGATATCGATTGATGGTGTTGAAGGTACTGTCACGGGACCACGACTACTCTTTTTTCAACAAACCAGCCTACTACACATCATGCAGTTCTCGTTACTAGGAAGGATCTATTGCAACTCAAGACACTCTAGACTCAGTCGTTGGCGAACTTCGGGGACTCCAGCAGATCGTCGAAGCGAACATATCAATCCAAGAGTCCTCTGTCTCTTCCGAGAGCATCTCTCGTCGTTTCTAATATCCGTAGAGGTAGGCTTCGCATATGTGCTCTGCGCAACCCTCAACAGCTGACTTGTGCTTCTTCCGAAACTAGTTCATTGTATCTTCTGATATGGTGGTCAACAAAGAGGGCGAATTGTAGGTATTGCTGCGCATCATAAACCGAAGCAGCCTGGGTAGGATGCCAGATACGCAATCGTATAACAGACGAACAATTGTCACAAGATGAGGTTCATTCGGGGGTAGCCTTCAGACGATGGCACGGCGCTCCTAGTGGCCACTGTACGCCGCAAAACGCCCGTTTATATTCTGCGATGCAATATCACAAATTCAAGAGCGAAACATCTGTGTTTTTTGCGCTGGATTCATCGTGTCAGAGTCGTGAATGGGAAAGCAGGCGTCCACTACGTACGTGCTGACGACCCATATCGCTTTAACCGTCTGAGATCCATTTGCAGGCGTCATCGCAACGGTCCTAGAGTGTTGCACAAAAATTCCCGTTCACCAGCTCTCCTATCGACCCGTTGACAGAGGATCATCTGTAACCCCTCAGGACTCCTCCCCACCGACACCATCACCAGTGTCTCCATCTCTAACTCTTCCCGTTCTCCACTTTTGGCGTTGAATCACCCTCCGCTCCGACGGCCACTCCTTCCCATTTCCGAGAACTGCTCACCTTCTCGACACTACTCCGCCTCAACATTTCTCAACAAAAACCCAAACACAGTCCAGACCATCCCCTCCGGCACCCTCCTTTGCTTCGGGCCCTCCGGAACTTTTTCCGGCGCTATCATCTTTCTTTGAGGGTTCTTTCGAAGAGAATGATCTAAAGGGTCGAAATACGCCGATGAGGGGTGTGCATCGAGGTGTGCAGCGACATAAGTGTTGACTCGACTTGTCGATTACGATGATTTCTGCCTCTTTTCCTGGGCCCATCGAATAGCTGCAGCCTCCCTCCATTGTTTGTGAGAATGACATATCTGGGCCACCCTCTTTTCTTGATTAACCCGACGCCTCATTTTCGTCAACCGTCGGAAAGCCAGCGGCCATAACCTGTGTCTTTGTTCCTGCTGGGCGCATTTCGGGATCGACATGGGTCAGTACCTGGATCGCCAGTGGTTGGAGTTGCGAAACGCGAGATGCCTCGCCAAGGTGATGTGGCGGTGAACGCCAAACGCTAATTTTGGATGGCTATGCAATGCACTGTCCGGACTCCGCGCTTAATCAGGAAGATAAATACACTTTATCTGATAGTAAAGCTCTAGCCGCAAGATGCCACTTTTAGCAACGTTATCATCTTTTTACCATACAATGGTCCTAGCCCTCCTGATCCTTGGCCTGATTAATGGGAACAGTGCACAAGATGACTGGACCACGCTACCCGACCCATTGACAAGCACCACATTCACGGCACCACCCCAAACCACTCCAACCAGCTCGGATGACGGTTCTCTTTTGAGCAACTGTGCCCATTACCTTTGTAGCTGGATTGCACAGGTGAGGTAGAATATGTTTGGAATGCGCGTGTCCCATTGATATCTGACTATCGGCCAGAGCAATTTCGGCATCCAAAGCTACAGCTTTATCGTCGGCTCTCCCGTGTCCAACTGTTACGGTGGCACGTACCCTGTCGACAGCGAATTCAGAGTATCATTCACTACGAGCGACACATGGAGCACTGGTCTGAACGTTGGCGTCCAGATCGGACAGCTTGCTGTCGGTTATCATGACAGCTGGTCGAGCACGAAGTCTCAGACATTTTCACAGAACGTGGTCATGCATGTGCCACCGAATCAGCAGGTTAGTTATCCTCACAGTATATCCAGTAAAACTTGCTGCTCACGTATAAACCCGCTCAATTTAGGGTGCCGTCATCGCCCTCATGAATTACAATGTCACAAGTGGGAACATGACCGTTGGTTCAACGTAGTCTTTTTCTTTCCCAGCTTTCCGAAGATTCACAACTCACTCTTTTCTCAACAGTGTCGTATCCCCAGTTTATGCCAATCAACCAATGGGACAAGTCGAATGGGGTGTGAACATGATTGATTGCGATCGGACGTTCGACGCCAATACTACCTCTCCTTATCCCGCCTCCTCGGGGGGCCTGCGGACACCAGTGTTGAGTTCGATCTTCTACGCGTCAGTCATTCTTGCTGGGATGGTGAGTGAGCATAGTGACTTGTTCGCTCGTTAATAATCAGTATTCGGTTTATGTGTTACAGGGCCATTTTCTTATGGACCTTTGATATAGTTACCTCCTAGAGGCTGGAGCTACAACATCGTAGACAGCGCGGCTGTCAGGTGGAAACTTTCACTTTGGGTTGTGGAACATTACGTAGGTACGGTCGGGGGGACTATACTTTGACTATACTACAGTGATCATCGGCCTGCGTACTGTCAATAGGGGGTCGATTAATAGGTTTGGTTGGCTTTTTACCTTTACGCCATGGATTTTGTTACATATCACTATACACCTTACCTTACCACTTACTTAATTATTAATAACACCTGTAGAGCCTCTTCCCATTGCCTATAGAAGTCTAAGGCCGATAATCATTTTCCGGTCAATCAACGTTGTCCGAGTCGTCCTTCAAACCGCAAGGATCAACCCCCCTTCATTTACTCCGCAAGCACGTCCTAAATTTGGCCGCTACTAATTGATCCATCATCCATCGCAAGTCTACGGGCAGCTTCATATTATCGTGAAACAAGGTACGACTTCACATAATATCGAAGTCTGTCTACGAGAGACTAGTTCCAAGGTAGGTGAAGATGGTGTACCAAGTCAACTAGTCACGGGGTCGCGAATTGCTCGCGAATCTTTTTTGAGGCCTAATTTTCCAGCGGGTCGCTTGATCCCAACCATCCGCTCTCTCACTAAGCCTCCCACTTCGAGGGGTTTGAAATTTGACGACCTGGATGTTGACTCGAGTTTCAACTGGCTGGTTAACCGGTTTCCGACCGATCAACTTCAGCCCATCCAAAAGATCCACTGGCAGCAGAAAAGCGACCAACTAGACCCATCTCTCCCACCGCCGCGATCTCGCCAACAGTCTGGGAGCCAGCCATTTCCCTTCGCGTTCATCGCCCTCAATATCTCCATCGCCAGTCCAGAGCCGGAAAAACACGACGTTTCATTTTGTTGAAGTGCAGCGGGCCAAGAGCAAGCCAAGAGCACGTCGTGGCAGTGCAGGCCAAAATTTATTTTCGCGATGCTATGCAAAGCACTGTGAGCGCGCCTACGTGCAAAGATAAATGCTATTGCTGATGGCTAGGTGTCCTAAAGCTGATTTCACCTAATGCTGATCTGCAACCGGAGACAACTGTCATCGACTTCGTATGCCACTCGCGCCGTGGTGGCCCTACAGTTAGGGCAGTCAAATGGGTCCATCACTGATGGGCCAGCGGTGTGTGACAGGCGCCCATCAACAGCGGGCCAGCGGACTCAGCCGAGCTGTCAAGAATTCGGCCTTGGGAATGACTGGGCCGAGACTCTAAAATAGGCCATGCGACATGGGTGGGCCGCACGAACAGAGCCCCATAGAGGACGGATTGGCCCACTTTGCCTCTGGCGCCCATGGCCCATGGGTTGCGCCCAATTGCACAGATCCCATTGTTGCGCCCATCGTTCTTTCAGGCAGTTAACCAGAGTGCTGCCTCGTTAGTACCACTGTGGGGGACCACACAGGAGAAAGTTAAATAGATATATTATTAACCTGTTGTATGTGAAGTAAGTATTTAAATGTGTTGACAGCAGCCTCGTTGTTGCGCCTGCAGGCAACAACAGGTGAATTTTTCGCCATGGATGGGTGGCATGAAAAAAAGCCCCTCATACAATGGGTCAGCTCACTTTGGCAGAGGTTTATGGCACCCATGCACTGCACCCATTGGTCTCATTGGCAAGTCCCAACCTGTGCAATTATTTTGCACTCCACGAGAGGCACAATTCTTTTGCGCTCCATGGGGGGCGCAATTATTTTGTGCTCTAGAGGTGCAATTATTTTGTGCTCCATGAGAGGTGCAATTATTTTGTGCTCCATGAGAGGTGCAATTATTTTGTGCTCCATGAGAGGTGCAATTATTTTGCGCTCCAGGGCGCAATTACTTGCACTCTATGGGGGAGCAATTCTTTTGCGCTCTAGAGGTGCAATTATTTCAAGCTCCATGAGAGGCGCAATTCTTTTGCGCTCCATGGGGGGCGCAATTCTTTTGCAGTCCAGGGTGCAATTATTTGTGCTCCAGGGTGCAATTACTTGCGCTCTATGGGGGCGCAATTATTTTGCACTCTAGAGGTGCAATTATTTCAAGCTCCATGAGAGGCGCAATTCTTTTGTGCTCCACAGGGGGTGCAATTCTTTTGCACTCCAGGGCGCAACTATTTGTGCTCCAGGGCACAATTACTTGCGCTCTATGGGGGCGCAATTATTTTGCGCTCTAGAGGTGCAATTATTTCAAGCTCCATGAGAGGTGCAATTCTTTTGCGCTCCACAGGGGGCACAATTATTTTGCACTCCAGGGCACAATTACTTGTGCTCTATGGGGGCGCAATTATTTTGCGCTCTAGAGGTGCAATTATTTCAAGCTCCATGAGAGGCGCAATTCTTTTGCGCTCCACAGGGGGTGCAATTCTTTTGCACTCCAGGGTGCAATTATTTGTGCTCCAGGGCGCAATTAGTTTGTGCTCTAGAGGTGCAATTATTTCAAGCTCCATGAGAGGTGCAATTCTTTTGTGCTCCATTGGGGGCGCAATTCTTTTGTACTCCAGGGCGCAATTATTTGTGCTCCAGGGCGCAATTACTTGCGCTCTATGGGGGTGCAATTATTTTGCCCTCTAGAGGTGCAATTATTTCAAGCTCCATGAGAGGTGCAATTCTTTTGTGCTCCATGGGGGGTGCAATTCTTTTGTACTCCAGGGCGCAATTATTTTTGCTCCAGGGCGCAATTACTTGCGCTCTATGGGGGCGCAATTATTTTGCCCTCTAGAGGTGCAATTATTTCAAGCTCCATGAGAGGCGCAATTCTTTTGTGCTCCAGGGCGCAATTATTTGTGCTCCAGGGCACAATTACTTTTGCGCTCTAGAGGTGCAATTATTTCAAGCTCCATGAGAGACACAATTCTTTTGCGCTCCATGGGGGGTGCAATTCTTTTGCGCTCCAGGGTGCAATTATTTGTGCTCCAGAGCGCAATTATTCTGAGCTCTACAGGGGGTGCAATTATCTCAAGCTCCACAAGGGGTGAAATTATCTGTATTCCATGGGGGGGACAATTATTTTGAGTTCCATAAGGGATGCAATTCTTTTGCACTCCACAGGGGGCGCAATTCTTTTGCACTCCACAGGGGGTACAATTCTTTCAAGTGCCACTGTATGTACCTTGTGCTTTCATAGGGTTACAAATAGTCTGTGTCCAGCATTGTTTCAATGTCAGAGTGCGCCCAATGTGAAATGGGCACGAAATGTCATGTCAGAGTGCACCCAATGTGAATGCACATCAAATGTGTGCACTAAGTATGCATCTGCACCTGTTATTTTTCAGTGTGTATTTCCACCCATTATTCTTTTGCATGAAATGTTGAGTGCGCCCAATGTGAATGGGCATGTGAGTGGGCGCCAAGTCACTATATTCCCATGGCATTTATTTTGCACAAAAAATATGCGCCCCCCCAATTGTAGTAAATGCGTGGACCAAAGTAGTTTGTAGCTGCCCTGCTGAATGACATCATGTGCCCCACTGAAACAATTTTTTTGCACCAAATGATGTTTCGACTTTGTCAAAATTTGGCCATGTCCGGTATATTTTCCAGCTCAAGGTGTGGGGGAAGAAGCTTGAATGTACAAATTTAGTATCATTAGAATTGTATAAATGTCCTCTATCGATCTATACCTATTAGAAAAGCACCAGTAGTTGTGTAAATATTTTATGGCAGCAAAAGACTTGAAAGATGTTGGAAGGGCCAAGCAAACAAAGGCAAACATTCCGATAATTCTACAAGTTCATGCTACAAAACATGGGGGAAGAAGCTTGGATGCCCAAACAAGCTGGAATCATAATTTAGACGAAATTCAGCATCTACTGATACCATTTTTTAGAGCAACAGTTGTTTGTGGCCAACCGAATTCAATACTCAGCTGTTTTGTCTAGGCTGTCACACTCTCACAAGTGTGATTTTTCTGTCAAGTATGTTGCATTGATTATTGTCCAGAGCTTTGCTGTGCTCTTCTTCGTTTCTTAAGGCTCAGCCAAAAGTTACAGAGAAAGATAACTATATATTGGATAAAAGTAGCTGTAGGTTACTGGCTGAGAGCCATCTTGCAAATCTATGGAATCCATCCCGAAAATTCATGAAATCCATCCACCATTCCAGGAATTCCATCTTCAATTCCTGTAGATTAAACCAGGAAGTGTACTTCTGGAGCCCAGAGCCCAGCCTATATCCTGTACCATCCAAGAGAGTGAAATATGGGGCATTTGGGAGGCACCAATGTGATTTGGGAGTGACCTGGAGGGTGGGGGAGAATGGGAAGGCAGTAAAAAATGCGAAATATGAGAGAGCATGGGGAGTATCATCACCTACCCATGTCTGGACACCTTAGAAAGTCAGGATAGGACCATAAAATGTTTTGGAAATGGGAGGAGAATGGGATGGCAGAAAAAAATGCGAAATAGGAGAGAGCATGAGAGGTATCATCACCTACCCATGTCTGGACACCTTAGAAAGTCAGAATAGAACACATTGAGCGCACTCTGATGGGCACATTCTGATGGGCGCACTCTGATGGGCACACTCTGATGGGCGCACTCTGATGGGCGCACTCTGACATTTGGTGCACATTCCCATTGGGTGCTCTTCAAATACATACTGAAAAACAACAAGTGCAGATGCACACTTGTTGCAGGTATATACTAACTTGGCACCCACTCACATTTGGCACACCTTCACATTGGGCTCATATTTCATTTGGTGCACATTCACATTGGGCACACTCTGACATTTCGTGTGCATTCACATTGGGCACACTCCGATATTTCATGTGTATTCACATTGGGCGCACTCTGACATTTCATGAAGAAAAATAATAGGCGCAAATACACACTTGGCGCCCACTCATGTTTGGTGGAAATCCACATGGCAAAATTGGTGCACAAAATAATGGGCACAGATACACATTGGAAAATAATGGGCGCAGATACACACTCGGTATTGACAGTTATGGTGCCCACCTGAAGCACCAATGGGCATGACAATCTGACACTGGCAGTGTCTTGGTGCCCACTCACATTTGTATTCACTACACAATGCTGTACACAGGCTATTTGTGACCCTGTCAACAGCACAAGGTACATACAGTGGCACTTGAAAGAATTGTGCCCCCTGTGGAGCGTACATCCCTCATGGAGCTCGAAATAATTGCACC